GCCGTGAGAGACGCTCGTGAGAGACGCCGTGAGAGACGTTGTGAGAGACGCTCGTGAGAGACGCTCGTGAGAGACGCCGTGAGAGACGCCGTGAGAGACGCTCGTGAGAGACGCCGTGAGAGACGCCGTGAGAGACTCTCTGAGAGACGCTCTAAGAGACGCTCGTGAGAGGCGCTCTGAGAGACGCTCTGAGAGACGCTCTGAGAGACGCTCTAAGAGACGCTCTGAGAGACGCTCGTGAGAGACGCCGTGAGAGACGCTCTGAGAGACGCTCTAAGAGACGCTCTGAGAGACGCTCGTGAGAGACGCCGTGAGAGACGCTCGTGAGAGGCGCTCTGAGAGACGCTCTGAGAGACGCTCTGAGAGACGCTCTAAGAGACGCTCTGAGAGACGCTCGTGAGAGACGCCGTGAGAGACGCTCGTGAGAGACGCTCGTGAGAGACGCCGTGAGAGACGCTCGTGAGAGACGCTCTGAGAGACGCTCTGAGAGACGCTCTGAGAGACGCTCTAAGAGACGCCGTGAGAGACGCTCGTGAGAGACGCTCTGAGAGACGCTCTGAGAGACGCTCTGAGAGACGCCGTGAGAGACGCCGTGAGAGACGCTCTAAGAGACACCGTGAGAGACGCACGGGAGAGACGCTCTAAGAGATGCTCTGAGAGACGCCGTGAGAGACGCCGTGAGAGACGCTCTGAGAGATGCTCTAAGAGACTCTCGTGAGAGACGCTCTAAGAGACGCCGTGAGAGACGCCGTGAGAGACGCTCGTGAGAGACGCCGTGAGAGACGCCGTGAGAGTCGCTCTAAGAGACACCGTGAGAGACGCTCGTGAGAGACGCTCTAAGAGATGCTCTGAGAGACGCCGTGAGAGACGCCGTGAGAGACGCTCTGAGAGATGCTCTAAGAGACTCTCGTGAGAGACGCTCTAAGAGACGCCGTGAGAGACGCCGTGAGAGACGCTCTAAGAGACACCGTGAGAGACGCTCGTGAGAGACGCCGTGAGAGACGCCGTGAGAGACGCTCTAAGAGACACCGTGAGAGACGCTCGTGAGAGACGCTCTAAGAGATGCTCTGAGAGACGCCGTGAGAGACGCCGTGAGAGACGCTCTGAGAGATGCTCTAAGAGACTCTCGTGAGAGACGCTCTAAGAGACGCCGTGAGAGACGCCGTGAGAGACGCTCGTGAGAGACGCCGTGAGAGACGCCGTGAGAGACGCCGTGAGAGACGCCGTGAGAGACGCTCTAAGAGACACCGTGAGAGACGCTCGTGAGAGACGCTCTAAGAGATGCTCTGAGAGACGCCGTGAGAGACGCCGTGAGAGACGCTCTAAGAGACACCGTGAGAGACGCTCGTGAGAGACGCTCTAAGAGATGCTCTGAGAGACGCCGTGAGAGACGCCGTGAGAGACGCCGTGAGAGACGCTCGTGAGAGACGCCGTGAGAGACGCTCGTGAGAGACGCCGTGAGAGACGTTGTGAGAGACGTTTGTGAGAGACGCCGTGAGAGACGCCGTGAGAGACGCCGTGAGAGACGTTGTGAGAGACGTTGTGAGAGACGCTCGTGAGAGACGTGAGAGACGCCGTGAGAGACGCTCGTGAGAGACGCCGTGAGAGACGCTCGTGAGAGACGCTCGTGAGAGACGCCGTGAGAGACGTGAGAGACGTTGTGAGAGACGTTGTGAGAGACTATCGTGAGAGACGCTCGTGAGAGACGCTGTGAGAGACGCCGTGAGAGACGTGAGAGACGTTGTGAGAGACGTTGTGAGAGACTATCGTGAGAGACGCTCGTGAGAGACGTTGTGAGAGACGCTCGTGAGAGACGCCGTGAGAGACGCCGTGAGAGACGTTGTGAGAGACTCTCGTGAGAGACGCTCGTGAGAGACGCCGTGAGAGACGCCGTGAGAGACGCCGTGAGAGACGTTGTGAGAGACTCTCGTGAGAGACGCCGTGAGAGACGCCGTGAGAGACGTTGTGAGAGGACGTTGTGAGAGACGCTCGTGAGAGACGTGAGAGACGCCGTGAGAGACGCTCGTGAGAGACGCCGTGAGAGACGCTCGTGAGAGACGCTCGTGAGAGACGCTGTGAGAGACGCCGTGAGAGACGTGAGAGACGTTGTGAGAGACGTTGTGAGAGACTCTCGTGAGAGACGATCGTGAGAGACGTTGTGAGAGACGCTCGTGAGAGACGCCGTGAGAGACGCTCGTGAGAGACGCTGTGAGAGACGCCGTGAGAGACGTGAGAGACGCCGTGAGAGACGTTGTGAGAGACGCTCGTGAGAGACGCTCGTGAGAGACGCCGTGAGAGACGTGAGAGACGCCGTGAGAGACGTGAGAGACGCCGTGAGAGACGTTGTGAGAGACGCTCGTGAGAGACGCTCGTGAGAGACGCTCGTGAGAGACGCCGTGAGAGACGTGAGAGACGCCGTGAGAGACGTGAGAGACGCCGTGAGAGACGTTGTGAGAGACGCTCGTGAGAGACGCTCGTGAGAGACGCTCGTGAGAGACGCCGTGAGAGACGCTCGTGAGAGACGCTCGTGAGAGACGCCGTGAGAGACGCCGTGAGAGACGTGAGAGACGCCGTGAGAGACGTGAGAGACGCCGTGAGAGACGTTGTGAGAGACGCTCGTGAGAGACGCTCGTGAGAGACGCTCGTGAGAGACCCTCGTGAGAGACGCCGTGAGAGACGCTCGTGAGAGATGCCGTGAGAGATGCCGTGAGAGACGCCATGAGAGACTCTCGTGAGAGACGCCGTGAGAGACGCTCGTGAGAGATGCCGTGAGAGATGCCGTGAGAGACGCCGTGAGAGACGCTCGTGAGAGACGCTCGTGAGAGACGCCGTGAGAGACGCCGTGAGAGATGCCGTGAGAGACGCCGTGAGAGACTCTCGTGAGAGACGCCGTGAGAGACGCTCTGAGAGACGCTCTAAGAGACACTCATGAGAGACGCCATGAGAGACGCCGTGAGAGTCGCTCGTGAGAGACGCCGTGAGAGACGCTCGTGAGAGACGCCGTGAGAGACGTTGTGAGAGACGCTCGTGAGAGACGCTCGTGAGAGACGCCGTGAGAGACGCCGTGAGAGACGCTCGTGAGAGACGCCGTGAGAGACGCCGTGAGAGACTCTCTGAGAGACGCTCTAAGAGACGCTCGTGAGAGGCGCTCTGAGAGACGCTCTGAGAGACGCTCTGAGAGACGCTCTAAGAGACGCTCTGAGAGACGCTCGTGAGAGACGCCGTGAGAGACGCTCTGAGAGACGCTCTAAGAGACGCTCTGAGAGACGCTCGTGAGAGACGCCGTGAGAGACGCTCGTGAGAGGCGCTCTGAGAGACGCTCTGAGAGACGCTCTGAGAGACGCTCTAAGAGACGCTCTGAGAGACGCTCGTGAGAGACGCCGTGAGAGACGCTCGTGAGAGACGCTCGTGAGAGACGCCGTGAGAGACGCTCGTGAGAGACGCTCTGAGAGACGCTCTGAGAGACGCTCTGAGAGACGCTCTAAGAGACGCCGTGAGAGACGCTCGTGAGAGACGCTCTGAGAGACGCTCTGAGAGACGCTCTGAGAGACGCTCTGAGAGACGCTCTGAGAGACGCTCGTGAGAGACGCTCGTGAGAGACGCTCGTGAGAGACGCTCGTGAGAGACGCTCGTGAGAGACGCCGTGAGAGACGCTCGTGAGAGACGCTCTGAGAGACGCTCGTGAGAGACGCTCTGAGAGACGCTCTGAGAGACGCTCTGAGAGACGCTCTGAGAGACGCTCGTGAGAGACGCTCTGAGAGACGCTCTGAGTGACGCTCTGAGAGACGCTCTGAGAGACGCTCGTGAGAGACGCTCGTGAGAGACGCCGTGAGAGACGCTCGTGAGAGACGCTCTGAGAGACGCTCGTGAGAGACGCTCTGAGAGACGCTCTGAGAGACGCTCTGAGAGACGCTCTGAGAGACGCTCGTGAGAGACGCTCGTGAGAGACGCCGTGAGAGACACTCGTGAGAGACGCTCTGAGAGACGCTCTGAGAGACGCTCTGAGAGACGCTCGTGAGAGACGCTCTGAGAGACGCTCTGAGAGACGCTCTGAGAGACGCTCTGAGAGACGCTCTGAGAGACGCTCTAAGAGACGCCGTGAGAGACGCCATGAGAGACTCTCGTAAGAGGCGCTCTAAGAGACGCTCTGAGAGACGCCGTGAGAGACGCTCTGAGAGACGCTCTAAGAGACGCTCTGAGAGACGCCGTGAGAGACGCTCTGAGAGACGCTCTGAGAGACGCTCTGAGAGACGCTCTGAGAGACGCTCTAAGAGACGCTGTGAGAGACCTTTTTGCCAGTATCCAAAATGATGCAAAAATAAGAATAGGCATTGCCCAATAAAACAGGAGTTGTGTCAAGATGTTCAAACACCAAACTTGATGCCTTTTGCAATTTCATCAGGTTTGCATTAACCGCACGTGCTTGTGGCAAAACATGCAAACAAACATGCTCCGATCATATTTGCATTGTCTTTGCAACTGATTGGCCTATACCAGAGACGGCCCTTCTTGAGAGACTATTTGACCTACTCTTCCACGCTGACCAGACGCGTTGGAAGAGGTGAGAGTTGCCCACACTTTACCCCAACTGCGTATGCGACCTACCCATCGACTGACTGTGGTGAGCCCATTCGTGCTGCTCGGTGAACAGACGCGAAGGGCGCATTCAAGAAGCTTGCACCAGCGTCTCAACTGCTGTGCCGTTGAGAACTCGTTTGTAATGGTTATCCAGTGTGATAACCATTACAACCACAGCAGCATCCTCAATGCTAAATGATATATATGGGCAACTCCACAGGAACCGAATCGTAAGAACTCGCTGCATTCTCTGCCCCATTTAAATATCCACTACTCGTCAGGGTCGCGCCGAGTTTATTTTTTTGAGGGCGCCACGTCGCGGGAGTACAAAGACGAACGTCGCTCGGATTCTGTTTTGCCGCGACGCCGACCTAGCATCGCGGGTGACGGTTCGCGATCTCCTCCTCCCGTCGTCGGTCAAGGGCCCCCTGGAGCTCCCTCGGCAGCGATTGAATGGCGCGGCGCGGGCGATCTGCGCGGCGCCCGTCCATCCCGGGCCATCCCTGGACACCCCCAGGCCGCCGGAGAAGGGCCCTGTGTTCGAGTTTTGGCACACGCTGCCCGAGGTGCAGAGCAGCCATCTCCTCTCCACCATGACTCAAGAGCAGATCAAACTGCAGGAGGTACATTACACACCGCCCGCCCCCCTCCCCCCCCCCCACCACGTGTTGTGCGACAGCTTCGCGATCGCTTAGAGCCGGGGCCATCCAATTATTTCGCGAAACGCCGAGTCGGTCATTTATTGTCTCAAACGAGCATTGAGGCGGTTGGATTGTTCATCTCCCGTTTACAGGCCTGGACCGGTGGTTGGTGGAAATTCCGCATGAATGTGGCGGGGGAAGTATATATCCAATAGCACCAGCGTGTTTGTGCTTCTTGTGTTGTATTGGCTGATGTAGATGCAGAGCAACAATTGCACATTCAGGTGGTCAAGCCGGACAACCGCGTCGGGAGCAGCGGAGTGCATCGTCGATGTGATGCCTCTTTCGTATTTGTGGATCGGGGCGTTGTTGACTTTCACACAAAGCGGTTTCTCATTTTGTGAAACCTCCGGAGGGATGGCAGGGGCCGCGTCAAACCCTGCCCCCTACCCCAACCCGGACCGGGTGTTGAACTCGCAACCGTCCGATCGCGAGCCACGAGCCCCGCCGCTGAGCCGCACAATCGATTACTCTTCCGATTGGCAGTTTGATGACTCAGTTACAGTTCATTTATTTTGGTATGGAGCCCTGTGAGCCGTTCGGCTCTTGAATCTAATAATTTTTGTTGTTATTTTCTGTGAACTTATCTACGTGAATTTACCGAAAGACCCCAAAGATTATTCACCTCAGACCTCTGTGGTTCACTATTTTAGTTCCATTTAGTTCAATTTATTTGGTATAGCCCCTGTGAGCCGTTCGGCTCTTGAATCGGGTGCAACCGCAACAAACAAAAAATACAAAAACACGAACAATAAAAAAACATCTTAAAGTGACCCGACTCATCGTCTAAAACAGAAAATTGTTCGGAAGACATTCCTCACCTCTTTCCGCCACGATCAGTGTAGCCGGTATTCAAGAGGGCGAGTCCCGAACGGCAAATCTACACACGAGTTCCGTGCACAGCGGCGGATGGACGGACGGATGGCGTTAGCGCACGGCCTTAGTTGGCGTAGGGGGGCGTGCTTTTGTAAATAATCGTGCGAGTACGGTGAACGTGTTGGGTGTTTGCGCCGCTCCCGCTGTGCGCAGGCCATGTTCGAGTTGATCACGTCAGAAGCGTCGTACTTGCGGAGTCTGCGCGTCGCCACGGAGGTGTTCATCGACAACCCTGACGTGAACGAGGTGCTCCCCTCCTCGCAGAGACACTTCGTCTTCTCCAACCTCCAGGAGGTGAAGGCGGTGAGCGAGAGGTGAGGGCACCGCCTCGGGCCGCCACTTCTTCTCATTCTCCCCTTCCCCCACTCCTCCCCTCCTCCTCCCCCCCCCCCCCCCTCCTCCTCCTCTCCTCCTCCTAATTATAAAGAGATGAAGTTTAATGACGGTAATTATGATACCATAGATCACGGAGGATCGTGATGATGGTGGTGATAGCTAAGATGGCATTGATGATGATGAAGATAATGAGGATGATGGTGGTTATGATGGTGACTGATGATGGTGACGATGAAAATGATGACGTTGGTAATGTCGATGACTTGATGACGACGGTGATATTGCTTTTTGTCATCGTTGTCACCGATGATGTTGAAGGATGCTCGCGGAGCTTGAGGAGCGCCTGGGTCAGAGCGTGGAGATCTCGGACGTGTGCGACATCGTGTACAATCACGCGGCCAAAAACTTCCGCTGCTACGTGAAGTACATCACCAACCAGCCCTACCAGGAGCGGGCGCTACGCACGCTCTCGTGGGTCCTCCGCTCCCCACACACGCAACTCGCACGCACACGCGCTGGCACTCGTGTGCATGCTCGCACACACGCTCGCACAGAGGCAAATGTCCCCCGTGTAGCCTTCACAGACTTGGGGCAAGTGGTGTTAGTAAGTGGTGCCTATGCAGGCCGGCACGGCACAGGAGGGGGTGGGTGGATGGCACCACGCGCGGCCGCCTTTGTCCCCAGAGTGGCGATGTTTACACACCGCACCGAACTCGCGTTCGCCAGGTTCGTGGCGCAGCGTGTTAACCGCTACACAACCGCGCGCACACACACTCACACACACTCACACACACACATGCGCACACGCACACACGTACGCACGCACACACACACACACTCACACACACACTCACACACACACACTCACATACACTCACACACTCACACACACACTCACACACACACACTCACATACACTCACACACACACACTCACACGCACTCACACGCACTCACACACTCACACACACTCACACACACACTCACACACACTCACACACACTCACACACACTCACACGCATGCACGCACACACGCACCTTCCTCGTTGTGTTCGCGCACGCACGCACGTACGTACACAAAGACAAAGATCCCCCATATAGCCTTAACAGACTGTAGGGGCAAGTGCTGTTAGCGAGCACCTATGAAGGCCGGAACGGTACACGAGGGGGTGGGTGGCCAGCACCACGCCCGACCGCCTTTGTTTCCCTAGTGGCAATGTTACACACTGCACCAGGTACTCATTTGAGGCTGAGTCGACCTAGGTGAGGCCCGGGACCGGTTCAGATAATTGTCACTGGTGTTGGCCGTGAGCGGGAATCGAACCCGGGTCGCCAGGTTCATAGCGCAGCGCGCTAACCGCTACACTATCGCTCCCCACAGACACATACACACAGACACACACACAGACACATACACGCGCACACGCGCACACGCACACACGCACACGCACACACGCACACACGCACACGCACACACGCACACATACACACACATACACACGCACACACACATACCCACAGACACACACATACACGTACCCACAGACACACACATACACACACACATACCCACAGACACATACACATGCACACATGCGCACGCACAAACACACACACGCACACATACATACACACGCATACACACACGCATACATACATGCATACACACATCCACACACACATACACACATACGCACATACACACGCACACGCACACACACACATATACGCACACACATACACGCACACACATACACGCACACACACACGCACACACACACATACACGCACACACATACATGCACGCACGCACATACACGCACGCACATACACGCACGCACATACACGAACGCACATACAAAGATAAAAAACAAAGATCCCCCATATAGCCTTAACAGACTGTAGGGGCAAGTGCTGTTAGCGAGCACCTATGAAGGCCGGAACGGTACACGAGGGGGTGGGTGGCCAGCACCACGCCCGACCGCCTTTGTCTCCCTAGTGGCAATGTTTACACACCGCACCAGGTACTCATTTGAGGCTGAGTCGACCTAGGGGAGGCCTGGGACCGGTTCAGATAATCGTCACTGGTGTTGGCCGTGAGCGGGAATCGAACCCGGGTCGCCAGGTTCATAGCGCAGCGCGCTAACCGCTACACTATCGCTCCCCACACATACACGCACACACACATACATACACGCACACACATACATACACGCACACACATACATACACGCACACACATACATACACGCACACACATACTTACACACACACATGCACACACACATACACACACATACACACATACATATACACACACACATACACACATACACACACACATACACACATACACACACCCGCTCGCTTGCACCTCCCTTGCTGCACTCGTACCTCCACTGCTACGGCTGCCTTCCTGCCACAGTAACGTGACCCACGTGACTGGTTCACCACTTGTTGCAGAGGTTCACGGATAGAATCTGGAAGGCTGCCCTGGTTGTTGACGTGACCCACGTGACTGGTTCACCACTTGTTGCAGAGGTTCATGGATAGAATCCGGAAGGCTGCCCTGGTTGTTGCCGCGGTTGTGCGTGGTAACCGTGAAAATACTACTTGCACGTCTCCTGCATCACTCCCAGTCGATGTGTTAAGATCCCCGTGACGTTGTTTCAAAAGAGTAGGCCGTTGTGTGCCGGCAACATACAGCCCAAAATTTGGCACGTTAAAAATAATATATATGTAGTAGCATCGTCCTCTACTGTCAAAGGTACTGCAGACTGCGTTTGTGTAACATGTTTGTGAAGCATCGTACCTTCGTGGGAGCCTTGCATTACGAGCGTGTCACGAGTACAAGATGCATTCATTATTACCGCCCCCCTCGTGGGCTTGTGCCTGCCTCACTGTAACAGTCTGTGATGCTAAATGACAGAATGTGTGTCGACATTGTCTCCTTCATAGGTCTGTCTCTCCACGTAAAGGTTAAACGTTTTCTTGACACAACCCATCGTCGGCCTCACAGCGTTCTGTGAATGCATTATTGCAGCGGCACTGATTAAGTACAGGAAAACACTGGACCAGTTTTGATATCCACTGTCTCATCAACTGTCGGGCGCATATCTCTCTCTCTCTCTTTGAGATGTGCATGTTAGTTCGACGCAACATGCAAACTAAAATATACAGGCGTCAGGGTCGGGATTGAACCCACGAACTCTTGTATACCAGGTGAGGCAGGTAACATCTTGCACGACCCGTCATGCCCCCTACCGTCTTCTAAACAAGCGGTGCGGGGCGGGGCGGGCATCTTTATATATTTTGTCTGCGGGTGCAGAAACGAAACTCCACAGTTCAGTCAGATTCTCAACAGGCTGATCAGTGAACCCCGCTGCAAGAATCTCCCGCTATCGTCATTCCTCCTGCTGCCCTTCCAGCGCATCACGCGGCTCAAGCTGCTGGTGGAGGTGAGAGAGAGGCGCTGCCACGTGAGGGCCGTTTGACAAACGAGTCAGTCCCATGGCCTGGTACACACACATTTACATCTTATTCTGCTCTCGTGGTTTTTTTTTTGTCCAGAATATCCTCAAGAGGACGGAGAAAGGCACGCAAAGACACCAGAACGCGCAGAGAGCTTGCAAGCAATTGGAAATGGTAAAACGTTAAAATCGCGATCTTTCCTGAATGTCAAACATCTTGTTCGCGCGCTTAACGTGTGGGTCATAAAATCATCGCTCTCGTGTTGAGTTAATTGTGCTTTATATCGGCTTTTGTGAAGGAAATGATAGTTTGCTGAACTATCATTTGTGGCCAGGTTGCTTCTGAAAAAGATCTATACAGCTCAGTGGGCCTTACCTGGTAAAAAAAATAGAATAGGCAGTATTTTGGGGAGTGGCCCCTTCTCATACTATGAGGGAGGGCCATTGCCCAATACGTAACCTCGTGTGTGTTTTGCCGTTTAAAGAATTGTTACGAACGAGCGTGGTGAGGTTTTTTTTTGTTAATTTGTGCCTGTGCACAACAGCAGCAGCATCAAATAATTTGCCAATGCAGCGTCCGTGAAGGATGTGAAATTGAATTTAGTTTTTTGGGTTGAATCTTACGTCGTTCCGACCTGGATTTTGCACGACCAACCGAAATCGACACAATCATCGCTAGTGTAAAATCAACGTGCTTCAAAAATTTGTGTCGTAAAGAAGTTACCACAAAGTCATCATTACGCCATTTATTCAGGACAAAGTCTCTAAATTCTTCTTTTTTTTCAGCAGCGTTCTTTATTGGCATGTTTTTCCAATTCCACTTGTGATGAGTCTTTGGCTTGTGGGAGGAAATGAGGAAACCCAGATAAGTCCCACACTCACAGGGTCCGTGCAGACGGGCTCGGAAAACTTTATCTGTACTGCCACTTCCTGTCCAACCTCGTAACCCAGTGATAAATCGTGCACCCCCGACAGCCAAGCCCACCAGCGGTTTTCACATGCATTGACATCGGGCAACAACAGTGAGCAAGTTAACCTTTTCGCTTTCCGAGATTTATGCAAGTTGCAGGGTGGGTCCCGTTCACCGCTGAATCTTGGAACGCGCAAGCGGTTAGCGTAAACTTTATTTAGAGGCATAATGCCGCTGTTTTTGAAAACATTGTACTCGCCGCAGAGAAGCGTAGCGACTCGACCGCACTCTACGACAGCTGGCGCCAAACTGTGCCACGCGCCCTCCCGCACGGCCTTGTGGGAGCCTCGGTACCGATCAAGTTATTTTATTGTAGTTGTTCTTCCGGTTTAGTTCCGACGATGCACACGTACGTATTTATTAGAACACGTACGCCATCGGGACGGAATTGTAAGGACGGCTGATGACGTACGCACGCACTCCATCGGATTAGCGCCGTCGCCGCGTTGGACGGCCGCGGAGAGGGGTCTTGCGCCAACGCTGCCCCGCCCGTCCCCCCGTGCCGCAGTGCATCATGGAGTGCAACGACGGGATTCTCAAGATGAGCCGGACGGAGGAGCTCATTCACATCGAGAAAACGCTCGAGTTCAAGGACAAGGTACGCGCCGCGTTGCCCGCCCCCCTCCCCCCGCGTGCGCGATGCCACGTTGCCACGTTGCCACGTTGCCCCACGGCCGCCGCCGAGTGAGCCGCTCCGATTCGCGAGCCGCACGTGACGGCGGCCAGCAGGGAGCAGCGCTTGCCTGCCTAGCAAGCGGTCTGTTGAAAGAGGCGCGGGGCGACGGCGGAACGTCGTCCGCGCGTTGCCTTTCGGATTTTTTTTTTTTCGCGCGCGTGCGTGCAGTCGGTGCCGATCATATCGCACTCGCGATGGCTCTACAAGCAGGGAGAGCTGATGGAGATGCACCAGGCGCTGGGCGCGACTCTCCGCAGCGGCAAAGTCAGCTTCAAGCCGCTCTACCTGTTCCTCTTCACGGACCTCCTGCTCTTCGCCCGCAAGAAGGAGTGAGCTCGCTAATCGGTCGCAGCTTTCCTGCTCGTTCCGTTTTGATTTCTTAAACCCCCGTGCATCCGCCGCTTGCGGTCGTCCGCCGGGGTTTTGAAGGCGTCGTCGCCGAGCGAGCGGCAAAGGAAAAGCGCGTCGCGGGGCAACTCGTCAGAAAATGCGGGGGAGAGCCGCAGCAGCATTGCGGCGACGTAGCGTGGTGGGCATGGTGCCCCCTCGTGCCCGGGATTAAATTGGGGGCCCGGCGTAAGAGCAGCGAGAAAGGCCCGCCCAGTTGCGAGTATACAGGTACATCCCTCGCCTATTTGCGGGCGATGCGTTGCAAAAAATAATGGGCGCACGAAGCGAAGCCGCGCGAGGCGGCTGCCTGCTGAGTGGCGCACGGAAGGTGCATACAATGATGGCCCGTGTCTGGCCGCATGTAGCGTAACTGCTTAGCTGCTTAGCTGCTTATCGCGAATATTGGGTAGAAATAGGTGTAGTCGCATATACGGCACGAAACCCCACCAACGGAACCCACCGAGAGCAAAGGAAACCTGTACATAGCAATTTGGGACACCGCGGAGGCGAGATGTTAGAACCTTTGACTGGTGTGCAGGAGGTCGTGGGTTCAATCCTTACCCCCACCCCCCCCGTCCCTTCCCACATTCCCACAGCCACCTCGGTGCCAGCACCGCCGCCCCACCAATGTCTTAAGCCTCCAGCCCCCGCCGGTTTTCGTGCCTTGTGCCCCGCCCCCGGCTGTGTTTGCTGCAGTGCCGGGACGCGTTTCCTGGTGTTTGAGCACGCGGAGCTGACGGCCGTGTCGGTGAGCGAGCAGCAGCCCATCCAGAACCACAAGCATCTCGTCCACCTCAAGGTTAATTTGGACAACCGCAAGAGACGCAAGGCGTTCATCCTCAAGGCTCAATCGGAGTGGGTCGCACGCTCGCGCAACTCCGCCATTCCTCTCTCTTCCTTGTTCCAAGTCCTCTGATCATCTCTCTTACCAAGTTCTTACAATAATGCTCGATTCAAGAAACGTGTTCACTCTTTGTCTATTACACCTTCAGTGGTGTTCGTTTGTTGCTGGCCGCTTGGCGTTTTGGACCTTTGGGTGTGGCTGCTTCGATTTTCTGTCTCGATGTGCTTTTTGTATTTATGTATGTACGTTGAACTTCTTTATGCACAATACGTACGTGACTTTACCGAAAGCACCAAAGAGTATAGTACGTAGCCAACTTCTAAATCAGTTCTAAACAAATTAGTTTTCAATCTATGAAAGTGCATAGCTCCAGCGGCTTCCTAATATCAGAAAGAAGAGCGTTCCAGACGGCCGCAGAAGCGGCTATGAAAACGTGCCATGCGGCGACCAACTTTATTCGATGGCTAGCCAGAAGATTCTGCTTCGAGGGTGACCGGAGTTCGCCCGATGATGGTTTTTGCTCCTCCTGTTATATGTACCTCTTCTCTCGTCGCCTCCGCTGTCCTCGCATCTCGTTCCACCACATCCCTGCCGCCTTGTGGTCGGCTCTCCCTCAAACTACTCCGCCCTGCACCGGCAAATGCAGTAACATCAAATCTTTCTGATATAATGACACTAATAAGTGTCATTATATTGACACTAGTACACGGTATCAATAATGGCACTAGCACCCAGATTGTAAATGACGTGGCTTGGCCCTCCAACGCACCCGTGTGCTGTACTAGTAACGAATTGGCAGGTTTTGTTTACGTGACAAACCTTACTCATCGGCTGTGTCGGGTGTTGGCGGGTTTAATGACACATTTATTTACGCGATCTTACCCAAAACACCTGTGTTACAGATAATGACACTTATGCTGGACTCCCCAGTGGCCTTCGAAAATCAATAAAAGATGTGACCACTCCTCTGTGAGTGATGCTGTTTTTGGCAGAGCACTCTCTTGACAAGTTTTAATCTTTGGGCAGACTCAGCCCATCATCTTCCCTCTGGGGTGCTGATGAAACGATTACCACTTCCATGAATAGATGGGTCCCCTGGCCTAGGAATGTGGAATTTCTACCACTGGTTCAGGGACGTCGGTGGAAATGATTTCCACCCGATTGTTGGTTTCAGCTGGGGGAGCTTTTGCCTTAACTTCACCCGAGCGTAGTGTCCATGACTCGTTGCCTCCCTCTGTTCATTCCGGGATGTTGCGGAGGATGGCTCGTGATTGACAAAAACAAATCTCGTATCTTCTCTTGCTTTGAGTTTTTCCTCAAGCAATGGTTGTCTCCTTTTTCTCGTTGTGCAGGAATGAGCAGAAGCGATGGATCACTGCCATCAATCCGAAGCGGAACAAAACACCGCCGGAGGTGTATGGCTTCTATGGTCAGTCGAGAGAGAGCCTGTGGTCTGGGGAAGTTCCTGTCTCGATTACAGAGATCATATATATATTTTTTATAGGGGGTGGGGGGGACATTAGGCTAAGGGTGCAGCCACCATTTGGTGTCATGCATGTTCAGACACAATTTTTTTTTTTTTATATGGCTAAGAGACACTCGTCGCATTTTTGATGGAACATATCAACTCGAATATCCAACTTGCTGAGGGGGGGGGGAAGGCAATATGAGTGGTTACTTGAAAATGTTGAATTTGTGAACACCTGGAGAAAATTAAAGTTGCGCCATTATGTATGCAGAGTTTACTGAACACAAATTAAGTGCAAACTGCTTTAAACTTCGTAATATGCTCTACTGTACTCTAGAAGTTGGCGAATGTACGCGAGATCGAGGATACATGACTGTGTGACAAGGTCGGATGTGTAAATGTTTATAGAACGTGACACCTTCAAGTGCCGTTTGTTGCTGGTCGCTGGGCATTTTGGACCTTTGGGGCGCTGTGCTCGGCCACTGATTTGAAAAGAAAAAATCTATCAAAGTCCCCGTTGTTGTATTCGTACGGCCCCTTGGGATTTTCCATCCCAATATGCTTCTTGTATTTATTTATGTATGTTGAACTTTGCTTGCACCATACGTAGCCATCTGTGCTAATCGACATTGTACTTTATTTTCCAATTTATCTCATTTATTTTTCCTGCTGTTCGAAGACAAAGATCCCCTGTCTAGCCTTTGCAGGCTGCTGGGGCGGGTGTTGTTAGCGAGCACCGATGAACGCCGGCACGGCACACGAGGGGGTGGGTGGCCAACACCATCCCCGGCCGCCTTTGTCTCCCTAGTTGCATCGTTACACACTGCACCAGGTACTCATATGAGGCTGAGTCGACCTAGGGGAGCCCAGGACTGGTTCAGATAATTGTCACTGGTGTTAGTCATGAGCAGAAATTGAGCTGTGTTTGCCGGGTTTGTAGCGCAGCGTGCTCACCGCTACACTAACAACTCCCCATTGTGGCGAGATGTTAACTCCCTCGCCTGGTATGCAGGAGGTCGTGGGTTCGATCCCGACCCTGACGCCTCTGTATATTTGGAGTTTTCGGTGTCTCTCTCTCTCCCTGTGGTCGTGTGGATTTTTGTCCTGGTCCTCCAGTTTTCCCCTCCACATCTAGAATCGCCATGCGTTCAGAGTATTTGACTGCTATAAATATCCACAGGATGACAAGCCGCTTCGTTGAGCAATTGTGACCAGGTCGCTTCTGGGAAAAAAAAAGAGCTATGTAGCTCAGTGTGTCTTACCTGATAAAAAGATTTAAGTTTGACCCACACACACACACAACACCGTATGCACAGCGGACTGCGAGCAGGTTTGCTGCATCAAGCCTTACAAAGCTCAGGAGGCCGACGAGATGACGCTGGATTTTGCCGACTCCTTCTTCATCCTGCGCAAGACCACGGATGGTGAGCGACCTGGGGGGGCGGAGACCCTCCCTGCGTGCTTTGGAATTGAGCAGCAGTTGCCCTGTGTAGAGGCTGCTTCGGCCGTACGTCCACGCATGTGTGCCTGTATGTACGTTGAACTTAGTTCGCACCGTACGTAGCCAACCGTGCTAATCGGAGGTGCACACAACAAGCGCAGCACTTTTGTCAATCCGCTGCTGGCTGAGGGCCTTCCTATGCGGTGCGGATCATGGGGGTTGTTTGACCACGCTTTGCCATGGTGGTACGTGCCAGTTAGTGAAGGCAGGGAGCATAACCATGGGAGCATAGAAGTACAGGGCGACATTATTTTGCTGCACTGCTTACTGCTGCTCACCGCATAGTCCCCCACGGTGGCCTATTACAGCCTGCTGTACATGAACTTGATTTGGAGCTTGCGTGACTGCAGGAATTACTCATTGGTTCTTTCGGTAAAGTCACGTAGAAAGATAAAATAATAAATAATAAAAATAGCGCTATTAGTTAATTTATTATTTTCTCTTTCTACGTGACTTCACCAAAAGAACCCAAGAGCTGCTGTACATGGTGATGACCCATCCAAGTGCTATCCAGGCTCCTCATGCTTAGCTTTCGAGATCTGACAATATTGCGAATAGCATTATAATCCATTGCGAAATACAGTGTGACCTTCTCATAGATACCGCACTTAAAATAAGAATACGGAGAGACGATAAGAGAACATTTTGTTTTTGTGCGTGTCGAACCTCTTTCACACCGTACGTAGCCAACCATGTTAATCGTGTCAAAAGCCTCTACACCTAACCTCAACATCCAAATCGGGCAGAATTCTGTGCGACCTTGGCCGCGGGCTTTCTAAAGACGCTGTAAAAACCCGAACCGTGCGCTGCTCGTGAAGGACGACGGCTCGCTGCTCCCTAACTGCGTGCGTCCGTGCGCCTGGCAGGCTGGTACGAGGGCGAGCGCATGTCCGATCGCCAGCGCGGCTGGTTCCCGAGCCGGGTGGTGGAGCCCGTGGCGAGCGGCAGCGTGCGGGAGGAGAACGTGCGTGAGCGCGAGTGTCTCCTGACCTCCGTGGAGGAGGGGGGCGGCGACGGCTGCAGCTACGGCGTCCCCACAATAGTGTGAGAAACTTGTGGGGGGGGGGGGGGGGGGGAGTCTTCCGCAAACGAAGGGGATGAATGTGTCCCCCCGTCGGGGCGACTGCCCGAGGACGAGGAGGGGTCCGTGTGAATTTGATGGTGTGCGCGAGACTCCCCATCGCAGTACAGCAAGACGGTTGCCGACCTGTTTGTGTGGATGTCGAGTGTCAGGCTGGGTATTCCAGTTTCCATTCCACATAGGAAAATACTGTATTCAAGAAGGGATCGGTCAAACTTTGCTCGGCTATTGCAACTCCCTCCTCTACACCTTCCTCAAATGCCTGTCTAAACTCCGGATTATGTGATAAGTTAGTGCCTAACTTCGCACCCATAAATGATACGTCACCCGAATGCACTTAGCCACCCACTGTGTGCCAATCCTTAATCAACTTCAACATTGCACTCACCATATTCAAGATCCTCCATAGACTTGCCCTCGCCAACTTCTCCCCATCCTCGCATCCCTCTACTCCCTTGCATGCAATCTCCACTCGAGCGCCAAAGGCTTTCTCCGTAGTCCGGGAAGCCCCTTCCCCCAGCCATCATTGCTGCCGACTCCCCGCTCCTGTTCAAGTCGAGGCTCAAAACCTTCCTTTTTTCCCTCTGCCATATGCCGACTGCCAGTCTCGATTGTAAAATATCCATCGCGTTGTCCGTCAGCTGGGAGTTCTGGGAGAAATTGCGTCAACTTGGGTGCAGTCGAGTCGAGGTGGCTGTTTGTGGAAACGAGGTGTAGTGAAGTGTTGTACCCCCTGCACACACGTATTCCACTGTTTTAATTACAAATAATAAGCGTACACACCTTGCATACTTGTTTACATGTATACATGCCAAAACAAAAAAAATATCAGCAGCAAAGTGGAAATTAAAATTCACCAAGTTTACAATGTGTTTTACAATAATCTGCATGCATCTGGGATGTACGGTGTTGGTATGATTTACTTTAAGCACTAGCTGGACTTGGTGGGTTCATTTGATATGATAAAAGTGCCTCTGGGTGCCACTTAATGAGATGGTTAATTTGGAACACGGAGCTCAGCAACAATGTGGACCTTGGTTCAAGACCAGTTGCATACAATTCCTTAAGCGACTGTAACTTGGCTCACAATGCTTTCCATTGCAAGCGAATTGATAATATCACTCAAAGTCATTTCATGCAACCGATCGCAGATCTTTTGTGGTCGCCTGATGTCAAACGTCCTCCTGTGATGTGAGCGAGGAGGCCTTAAGTCGAGTCAACCGATTACCAGATGCAAATTATTGCATTGTAAATGCGTTTTAAGTGTGCGAGTTGTTGCATTTGTCTGTAGATAGTGAGCCGTGACTATCGAAGGCTGAAAGCACTGTTTGATGGCCCTGTTTGTGGACGTGTTGAAGAGACGTTTGGTCGAAGTTGTGAAGTCTTTTTTTTAGAAGCCACGTTCTCTTGCGGCGCCGCGATCTGTACGCAGCTCTGAACGATGCCTGCTCCATGTGCCTTGCCACGTGAGAGCACAATTGCGATGCGACTGGTGTAACAACGCTACGAATATATGTAATACATATGCTGTAAATAAAGTATTCAGTAGGGTCATTGTGACACTTTAATTACGTTGATTACAATGTATAGATTTTGTTGCTTAAAGGCATTATCGGCAGTAACAATAGACACTAGCTTTTGTATTTTACATTATCGCCGCTATCTATGCACCTCATGCTATTTAATTTGAAGTTGATCGTGCAGTGATGAGAAACGGATATCTCATTTCCTAACGCAATACGATCAACCTTGGCATGTTTAACAATAATTTCTTCCCACCGCTTATTCCCACGAAAAGGTGAGGCATATATGAATGTAGTTTCTTTACAAAGGTGGCTGTGTCAATGTTGATCTTATTTCAATGCAGTCCCATGTCGTCACATTAAAGATTTATGTTTTAATAATTGATAGAATTGATTAGCAATATTCTATTTTGAAAAGTTTGACTTAACGGTCATCGTGTTGCATTTTAGACAGCGGGCATAGAAAACTGTGTACCCTGTATTGTATTTTCCATTCTATGGCAGTTTTTTTAATCACTAAGGCATTTTCTTGGTCATGATGTTCAGAATCTGGCTTCCATACAAAGCACTGAGCCAGTTTTTTTTAATATGTTTAAGCCCCAGGTTACCCATTATGATACAAACAAGTCCTGCAGTATATTAAACATGGTCTGTTCTCAGTCGCCAAATGTTACAAACAAATTTCCACTTAATGCGTTTCTGCCCAGCACTGAAGATAATTGAAAATGACCAGATTTGAATACCCGCAATACAAATGTAATCATATGACACAGTTTCAGAGCTCACCCCAATGTTTTTAATGCAATAAAAGTTGTTAAATATTTGGTATTAGTTTAAGTGCGTATTTTGCCATGTGTTTGTGCCTGTGATAGTTGGTAGTCTACTAGTCACTGGGTGTGAATGTGCAACATGTTTATAACATAAAAAATGTAGGGTTATTTTATATAAACTACATTTTTATTGTTGAGTTAAAGCTTTCGTGACTGCAGGGATTCATATTCTTGGTTCTTTCGGTAAATTCACGTAGAAGGGAAACAATAAAATAATAAAAAACAATAAAAATATAAAACAATATTTGTATTATTATATTGTTTCCCTTCTACGTGACTTTACCGAAAGAACCCAGAATATGAATATTTTTTAATGTTCTTAAAACTGCCAGTGTAAATAAACAATTGAGTAACCGAATCGGTCCTGACCTGCCCTTCAATTCTCATAGCTGGAGGCCTCCATTCAACAATAGATTCACACAAGGGCCATGAATTGCTGTATTATTACTTAGGGCCTGTCCCCATCTAATACACTTTTATTTTCTAAATTGCACAAAGTAATAGAATTGTCTCTTTAGCAAATGAAAAACGGTTATTTAGGATCAGTTTATAACAATGGAGGAGAGCCGATTCTGAAAGGAGGAAGTGAAAGGACTGTCACAGGCCATTGGGGTAAGCATTTATCATAACCAAGGATTGATGGAAAAATGAAGGGGGGAAAACGACTTGCATACAATATACCATTGTGAGGCGCTACACATTTACATGTCAATGTTCATGCGTGGTTCAAAAAGTTGAGAACCTAACATATCTACCAAGTACATACAAGCATAAGATCTTACTTTTCAGGTCACCCTTTTCTCACAATGAATTATTAGTATAATTCCCAAAGCTTTTTTATTCCCTCAAATACAGATGGCTCCTTTGGACATGCAAGTGATAAAAACTTTGGATTTGACATGAAAATGTTGATAATGTATTTTATGCGCGTTTCATCTTATCGCGATCCTTGTACATTGTGAATCACTACATATAACGCAAGTTTTAAGTAAAAAATGTACCGATGGCACCAATTTTCGAGATTAAAAGTGCGATTTGAGAGATGTCATTTTAAGGATGTTAAATATGCACTTCAATTGTAAACATGTACTTGCAGGTATTGTAGAAAGTTAGGTGTATACAGGTAATATCCAGCTTTATTGTAAAGCAATTGCTTTAAAAAAAATGTACGTATTAATTCCTAGCAAAATTGTAGTACCGTACAATAGTTCCAAAAAAGTTACTACATGCAGTCTGTCCATCAAGTATTAAACGCAAAATAAAAAGTTTTCATAAAAATAAGAAATGTTTTTGCTAATTTATGCATACGCAGTGCCAAAGTACAAGGTTAAATGCATTCTCTATAAAGTAACATTACATTTTAAGGTTTAAGAGGTCAGACCAATTTACCATGAGTATTGTAAATATACACCGAATCAAAGATGTTTCTTTTATTCACTTTATAACGTTCATAATCTTTGCCGTAGTTTTCATTCACGTGCCTTTACATCAAAACGTAACCTATTATTTAGACAGTCATAACCTCCGAGACACTTTTTTCGCACGTAAACAATACATCGATAGAAAACAATAACTTATGTACACTGACAATATTCAAAATGTGCCATTTCACTTCCTAGTATGTGCTCAAGATTTTCAAGGTTATGTATGAATTGCCATTCTTTATACCAGTCTCGAGAAACTGGGTCCATTAAGTACATGTAATCATAAAAAAAAAATACTTTATTGATATTGCGGACGCAATGTCTAACACATGGGCATGATACCAACACTAATGTCATCATTGTTGCAAACTCTTTACAAAGTCACAGGGTCTTAATGCTCAAATCAGAAGGTACTGCAAAGCATGACACTTAAGGAACTATCCAAACCTTTGGCAAACATTACACTTCAAAAATATATTCTTATGACGTGAGTGGGTGCTGATGTGCCTCGGATCACTTAAAATATCACAAAGTATTCTCCATTCTGCTTTTAACGCATCATTACAGTATGTATCGGCACTTAATTGGAACACGTGAATAAACGCATCCCATGGCCACCTTAACTTGGAACAGTTGCATTCCAATATTCTTGGTTCTTTCGGTAAAGTCACGTAGAAGGGAAACAATACAAATATTTATTATTTTATATAATAAAATAATAAATATATTTTTATTATTTTATTGTATTCTCCATTCTGCTAAAATAATACAAATATTTATTATTTTATATAATAAAATAAATATATATTTTTTGTTGCCCTTCTACGTTACTTTACCGAAAGAACCAAGAATATGAATCCCTGCAGTCACGAAAGCTTTAAATCAAAAGTTGCATTCCAGTTAAGGAGTGGCCAAGCAGAGCATTATCGGCAACAGAACTCTATGTTGCAAATGGTAATGTTTTAAGAGGTGTAAATTATGGGAATTCAAGTCCAAGTCTGCGGTCAAAGAGATGTTGCTTCATCACATGTCTGGGGGGTGGCTGCTATTCGTCTCCACTTCGATGGAGAGAATGTGATGCCCAGGCACCATGGCGAGACCCAGTACCCGCGCTTCCCCTTGTGAAGATGGTTCTGTATGTAAACACACAAGCATGCAAACACAAGCCATTTTCATCTCTATTTTCCTACTATCAACGCATCGTGTCCAAGGTCACAGTCAAGCTTACACGATGAAAAACTAAATATTCCGGTTTCTTCCTCAATGGAACTGCATAAACGTCACAATGCAGGAAGAGTCTTAAGCACAATTTTGGCTTTCCTGGATACATATAATTTCATTAATTAAAACCGTCTCCAATCTACTTTAGGAACTGAACACAAATTCAACAAAGCGAAAATACTTCCTTAAACAGGATAAAAAAAATGCGACATTTAAAGCAATGTCACATTTTTCATAGGTGACGATGCTTTTGAGCTATGCAACTTTAAAATCGAAATTGAATAATCAATCTGGATTGAAATCTGATCGTATTTTTAACAACAAGAAGTTAAACATACGTGCATACATAAGGGCCGTTGCTGTAAATGCCGCTCACCTCTTGTATATTTTAACCTTTCGGGCAGTGTGATTGCCAACGTTTTTTGGTTGACTTTGTGTTTTTACCCCCTTGTGCACCAACCGTCAAGGGGTAGCGCCAACATGACATTGGCTCGTCGGGTTTCAATCTGACGGAACAGTTAAATGGAACACAAATGAACGAGTGCTATTACCGGTGCCTTTGAGGTACTCCTGCGCCGAGCCGAGGATGACATTACAGTCGCGGTCAGTACAGAGGAAGGACCCCACCAGTGTGCGCCCATCGCTCATTCGTATTTTCATGCTGCGGTTGAGCCAGCTTTCCAGCCTCTCTTTGGCCAATTTGTACTGCTCACCGCCCTCTCCCGACTGCTGCGGTGGCTCCTGCGATGTAAAAAATAAAAACAAATATATAGAACAATCGAAGAGCAACGTCAACTCGTTGAAAGCGACGTCACCGCAACAACTATTTGCCGCGTTCGCATTGCTCATTCATCCAAGGACTCTTCTAGGAGCGTCCTGCATTGGGGGTTTACTTGAAAGATGTTTTCAACGGATTGGTAAGCGTGGGAGGGAAACCGGAGCGCCCGGAGAAAACCCACGCGTGCGAGGGGGCAACACTCTATCCCGGTAGAGATGACAGGTGGAGGTTTGTCCACTTGCTTGTATACTCCTTTCTACTGGTGAGCCAGGGTATGGCACCTCCCGACAGCAAGTTTGTGTGATCCGCCAATTTTCGCCTCCAGTGATGGTTTACAAGCGAGCACCAACCATACGGGCTGGTGGATTGGTCGGGTCATGCGATGGAATCCTGTGTTATGGGGAAATCATGTATCTATGATGCCTGGCAATCGGAGGTTAACGAAGACACGAACATGCGCGGACGTTTTGTCAATCCAATGCTGAATGAGGGCCTGCCTTCGCCGGCCGGGCCCGTATCTACTTATTTGCCTATACAATACCGCATATAACCATCACGATTTGAAATATATACCACCCCTCTCACTCCCCCGCAGAAAATAAGTATCTGCTAATCTACTGGAAGGTACGAATGCGTCAAGGAGGGACATCGTTTCGTTCAAGAGAACATTCGACATCTGTACATTCCGGGGGGGGGGGGGGGGGGGGGGGGGGGGGGTGGTGGTGGCGGGCTTGCCAGGTCAAAGCGCCCCGTAAGAGAATCCAGGCAACACCGTAGGCCGCGACCGCCGGTAGGCCTCGTCGCCGCGAGCGACAATCTAACTTCGTTCGTGGCACGACGTTAGGGCGTCGTGAGCGCGCTGTGGTCCGGTACGGGGCTACACGACGGCAGGTCTCAGGGGGGGGATGAAGCGACGACGACGTCGCCGCATTTGCGGAGACCGCGAAAGTGTGAGGTGGTGGTGGTGGTGTGTGTGGAAGGCGCTCACCATTGAAGCTCGCGGCTTGCCACTGCCACGGGCGGCAGTGGATGGGACGACAAGACGACTCACTCGCGACAGAGGAGCCTCGCTCACGACGAAGACGACACCATCACCACCCCCCGGTGTAGCCTTCACAGACTGTTCGGTGGCAAGTGCTGTTAGTGTGAAAGGCTCTGCCGCCTTTGTCCCCTCCAGGGGCGGTGTTTTTACACTCCGCCGCGCCAGGTACTCATTTGAGGCTGAGTCGACCTGGGGGAGGGGGGGGGTTATGATTTATTTACGTAGTTTATTGTTAAAAATTCGGTCAGTCCCTATGATCACTGTTACATTGGATTTATGGCTTTGTTTTTGGTGATTTCGAAAACGTTTTTTTTTGTTTTGGCCATATTTTTGTTTATTGTAGTATGGAGTTAGACTGAGGGCCTTAATCTTAGTTGTCTTGTGGTTGTTGTTTGACTTGCATCCCACTGGGATTTTTGCACACAGCGTTGGTGTACGGTGCTATTTCAGGAATATTTTGATATTTTTTTCCTGGATTTTCTGTTTGCACATGCACAAAGTCACTTTAAGATGTTTTCTTGTTCGTGTTTTTTGTTTGTTGCGGTTGCACCAGATTCAAGAGCCGAATGGCTCACAGGGCTATACCAAATAAATGAACTATGAATAGGACCGGTTCAGATAATCGTCACTGGTGGTGTTGGCCGTGAGCGGGAATCCAATCCCTGATCACGAGAATTCGTAGCGCAGCGTAGCGCTAACCGCGGCACCACCGCTCCCCAGATCCGCACACAGCGACAGCAGCGAAAACTTGACAAGGAACCTCCTGAATTTTTTTTTTTAAAAGTCTTAAGGTTGTTCTACGCCCCCCCCCCACCACCACCAAGCAAAGAACAAAAATAAACGAATTAAATAATTACACAAAAAAACATCCCTGTAACAAATAACAAAATAACAAAAAAAATAATGTCGGCGAGGTGACCGTGTTGTGACCGCATCTACTGCTCGCCCGGGCCCCCCCACCCCCCACCGCGTCGTCGTTGCCGTGGCAACGGAGAGACGCCGCTGCCGGCAACCTCCTCTAGGAAGTTCGCGAATAATAAAACACAAATAATCAATCTCTGTCGGGGTTCCGTCGATCATTATTATCGGTACAGATTTAATTTTAATAGGCGCTGCTTTTGCTGCTGCTGCTCGCGTTCACGGGCTGCGTCTTCCTCCTCCGTACGAGCCGGATTTAAGAGCCCCACCGAGCTGAGGCAATTAGAGTTGGACTTGGGAAGTTCGGGATTAGTTTTATAGAGTGCTGGTTTTGTTTAAATACTCTTTGATTCGTAACCCGGGGTTGTTACGGATTCAGAGACGTCGACTCGGGGTCATAGCTTTAAGTCCAAGCATTGGACAGGCGCTTGGTAAGTTTTAGGACTCGGGGTGGTGGTTTTTCCCATCGGTACGGTCACTGTTACATTGCATGTTATGGCTTTGGTTTTGGTGATTTCGAAAACGTTTTCTGGGTTGGACATGTTTTTGTTTATTGTAGTAAGGAGTTAGACTGATGGCCTTAATCTTAGTTGTCTTGTGGTTGTTGTTGTTTGACTTGCATCCCACTGGGATTTTTTTGCACACAGCGTTTGGTGGTGTACGGTGCTTTTTTTCAGGAATATTTTGATTTTTTTCATGGATTTTCTGTTTGCACAGTCAACACGTAGTCACTTTAAGATGTTTTTTTTATTGTTCGTGTTTTTGTTTTTTTTGTTTGTTGCGGTTGCACCCGATTCAAGAGCCGAATGGCTCACAGGGGCTATACCAAATAAATTGAACTAAATGGAACTAAAATAGTGAACCACAGAGGTCTGAGGTTAATAATCTTTGGGGTCTTTCGGTAAAGTCACGTAGATAAGTTCACAGAAAATAACAACAAAAATTATTATTATTTTTAAAAACTACGACGTTTCGATCACAACACAAGCGATCGTCATCATCTTTCCCCCGTCATCATCTTTCCCCCCTGATGACGATCGCTTGTGTTGTGATCGAAACGTCGTAGTTTTTTTGTGTTATTTTTCTTTTAACCTACATAAGTTACTTTACCGAAAGACCCAAAGAATATGGGGTGAATGTTCACGGTCAGCGCGCTGCGCTACATTATTTAATTTCCTTTATTCTTGTACGGTATTTGTTACACAGGTTTATTTTTTTTCCTTTGGTAATACTTTCTTTCGTTTGTCCTTTGCTTACTTAACCGGTGGGTGGTGGTGGGGGGGTAAAAACAACCTTTAGATTTATATTCTTTGGTTCTTTCGGTAAAGTCACGTTGACTTTACCGAAAGAACCAAAGAGTATGGGTTTCCCGCAGTCACGAAAGCTTCGAATCACAAGATTGAACCTTACGATTTATAAACATTTGTTGAGGTGCCAAGTTTCCTCTGTAAGGGGCACGACGGTGTCGCTGTGTGCGGATCTGCCGTGGGGAGCGGACAACACCGGAGACGATTTTCTGAACCGGTCCTGGGCCTCCCCTAGGTCGACTCGGCCTCAAATGAGTACCCGACGTGTAAACATCGTCACTCGGGGACACAAAGGCGATCGGGGGTGGTGTTGGTTGTTCACCCACCCCCTCGTGTGCCGTGCCTGCCTTCATAGGTGCTCGCTAACAGCACTTGCCCCTTCAGTCTGCTAAGGCTACACGGGGGTGGGGGGGGTCTTTGTCTTTGTTGGGGTCAGCGATGCGGCCCAGGTACCTGACCCCCCAGGAGGTGTCTCTGCACAACGTGCCCGAGGACGCGTGGGTCTCCTTTCTGGGCGCCGTGTACGACCTCACGCCCCTGTGCGACCAGTACAAGGGTGATGCACGTACACACACAGCACGCCGCACTCACCTCACCCGCCCGTATGTATGTGTGTACTGCACGTTGAACTTCTTTCGCGCCGTACGTAGCTTGCACTCTTATTTGAAGCTCGCGGAAAGGGAAATAAATAAAGTAAGCGACGTTTCGGGCAATGGCCCCTTTTCACTTGCGTTGGGGATGTAAGACTTTTTATTAAACTATTGAGGTTTTTTTTTTGTTTCTGGCTGTGCTATGAAGAAGGGCCATGGCAGATAGCCCACTATAATAGAGGGTGAATTTATAGAGAAAACTTTATTTCAAAACCTCGACATGTCCCTCACCATTGTCAACACACATTAAATCATATAACGCTTCCTGTAAGATATCAAGTCATTGCCTTCACAATACACAATCACATGTTCAGAAATCATTCGAAATATATATGAAATACTGCACAGCCCACTGTGAATACAGTTAAAATGTTCGGTTTATAAATTAATCGGCCTGTATTTCCAGTAATTGTCGTGCATATGTTTGTTTATAATTGTGGACTTTTCATTATCCCACAGGAGACTTGCTTCTGAAGCCCATTATTGAGGCGGCTGGCCAGGACATTTCTCATTGGTTTGACTTGAAAACTAAAGATGTGAGTTGCTATTTGTAGCGCATACACTATAGGTGACCGACACATTACCTCATTCAGGTACCATATGTTACACTTTAAAAACACAGCTCTCATGTAGTCATGATAATAATTTCTTCATAAGGCGCCCTTAAACAATGGATATCAAGAGCACCATGCATATAAATTAGGAAAATAAGTGAGAAGTATCCGGTAAGAGAAGGACTAAAGAGATAATATGGAAAACTTGAGAGGCAGTTTTATACAGGTGGTGAGGTCTTCCACCGGGACTTAAAGGTCACCATCGAGTGCGAATTCCTAACCTCTGAGGGCAGATAATTCAAAAGCTTGGGTGCTGTAAAAGGGGACGATCAGTAAGATCTCAGAGATCTCGGTGTGATGTATGGTTGAATCAACTCCTAGATGTGAGGTGGAGCAAGCCCATTTAAAGCCTTAAACACAAGTAGGGGAATCGAAACATCATGAGGAAACATTAACATTGCTTCTCCACACGATGCTATTATTAGAATTTAGAAACATCCGCTTAAGAGTTTTTGGCTGATATTAATTTTCATGTAAAATGGCCACTTCGTTGAGCTATTATTTGTGGCCAGGTCGCTTCTGAAAAAAGCTATGTAGCTCAGTGGGCCTTACCTGGTAAAATAAAACGTTTAGTTTTTCGTTTTATTTTGTGTCAAAACAACAATATATTTTATAATAAAATTATTATCATAATGTACTAGTGGCATAGCTGTGGAGTTTGCAGGTGGTGTAATCACACCTGGCCCCAGGTTCAGTGGAGCCCAAGCATCGGGCGACAAAGGGGGCGACGGAAATTGGACGGGAGATGCCATGATATTCATTTCCCCAGGGCCCATGCCGACCATGGTACGCATCATCATGATGACGATGCACTCACACAATTACTAAGTCCTGCTAAATTGCCAAGGGAATTAACAAGCACAACTAAGCAGAACATCACACATGAGGCAGTCGCACGCATGAACTTAGCATACCTGTCAACCCCTTTTGAGTGGCTACCTTATTATAGACCAATTTAGAACGTATTGGTCACCCCTGCTCTTATAAATCTTAAAGTTCATCCTACAAAGTCCCATCGCAAGGGAGAAACACAAATAGACACTTTTTTGACCGTATTGAAATGTCTGCACGCTGTATGGACCTGAAAACGCAATTTCCCTGTAAAAGAATAAGGGGTAAACCGTATGGTTTGACACGGTATGACTTAGAATCACACACTGGAGGGTATAATAAACCAACATGCCAGTAAATTAACATTTCTCGCAATTGATTACAAGTCATTGCAATGCACTTATTGTTTGTTGGTTTGGCGTGGAGATCCGAACCCACGTGGACCCCGTGACGAACACGGTGACATTCCACACGCCGCAAGGACGCTTCTTGCACGTGCCTCCGCCGTACCCAAGCACGGACTGGGCCAATGACTTTGGGCGTCCGTGGTGGAGAGACACCTCGTACCAGGTGGGGCTGCTGTCAAAGAAGACGCGTTTCATCCGCGTGATCAACACGCTCACCTCCCAGGAACACATCATCGAGGTAACAGCCCTGCCTTCCTTTCTCTCGGCATCACCATCTTGAAGGCTTTCTTTTGTGTCCAAGCACCGCCCGTATGTTTTGATTCAAGATTTAATGATTGTCTCGTTTTAGCCGTCTTATTTTAGTTATGTCCATTAGCCTAGATGTAACATTAACATAGTATGAATCATAAATGTACCCTCAAACGATGCATATATTTGTGAGTGCAAACATGGCTTAATTTCTCACCATTCTCCAGGTATCTTTAGATAAGACACGTAAATATTAATCACAGCCACAGTGAGAAGTATACTGGGTGTGGTGTGCCAGGTGCAGAAATATTTCCCACGTCAAACCAAGCTGAAATGAAGCACTGTGGCCAAGTCCCCAGGGTCACTCGCCGAAGCGATGCACCGTTGCACACCTACGACCTACCCCCTTTTCCCACCTCTTAAGCCCAGCACCGCTCACGTCGCCAGGTGTGCACGGAGGAGATCCTGTCCGAGATCCTGCACCGCTACCTCAAGTATAACGCGCACGCGGGCAGCTACACGTGGAAGCACGCCGAGCGCGAGCTCGACATGGGGCTGACGCTGGACGAGAACGGCGTTCCCGACGAGGACGAGGAATTCCTGCGGCTGCGGCTCGAGCCGGACGACTACCGCCAGACGCTGTACCTCTGCTACAACGACGACCTCACCGAGGCGTGATTCGTGCATTTCGCGGTGGTTTTAAACGATGGATTCCCGAGCCGGCTGGGAAATAAATGTAAGATCACCAGGTGTTGGGAGAGTCACATTGGGTCAACGTCGAGAGCAGCGGTGGTTGGAAGTTTGGCTGAATCTTGTCGGGCTTTGTGAATGAAAGTGATTGTGTCGTAGATCAACTTGTATGACAGTAAAATTGCATTGGGCAACCAGCAACCCATTTAGCCGAAATTACTGCAAAATATAATTAAGGTGGTAGGCAGGATAAGATGTACTTTACTCTTACGTTACTCCTGAAAAGCAAGTTTAAAACCGGAGGCCCCATGTTCTCCTTTGTAATTGCTTGTAAGGCAGTATAACCGAATACAATTAAAAGATGAGACTTATAATGTAACCTGGAATGACTGAGCATTATTTCAAAATTGATTGACAATAGATTTTCATTTTTTATTTATTTAAAGCTTTCGTGACTGCAGGGATTCATATTCTTGGTTCTTTCGGTAAAGTCACGTAGAAGGGAAACAATAAAAGAAAAAATAAATGCTCTTTGGTTCTATTCGGTAAAGTCACGTAGGTAAAAATAAAACAACAAAAAATCACGACGTTTCGGCCACAACACAAGCGGCCTTCATCAGGTGAAGGGATCAGGCTGTCTCGAGGACAGCGCTGGAGTGAAACACAGCCACCCTCAGACCGCGACCTTTCAGCTGTGTGCGAGGAAACAAGGTGTCCTGACAAAGAAATTAGCATAAAAATTAGCATTTGATTGCCCGACTTAGCATAGAAGTGGTGTACATGCAAGTGCACATTGGTTGGCGCGGGGGGGAGGGGGGGTTTCCCTATTGATGGTGTGAAAAGGGAATTTAAGAGCTGCGAAAGTTTGGGGTACCACTTCTTGAAAAATATACTGTACCATTGAAAATTAATGTTTGGTTCGATTTAGAACATCTTCCCATCTGTGAAGGATGTCATTCCTGACATGCAATATCCGGGAGTCTACAAACTAAGTTGCACCTGTGGTCATTGTTACATTGGGGAAACGAAATGGCATGCCTCAGGCCGTGTTCGCGAACACAAGGCAGATCTGAAACACGGCAGAACTAATACCTCTGCCGTGGCTGACCATTGCTATAACGCTGTGGGCTCTCGTGATATTGTTTTTTTCCCGAGACCAAGGTGCTCTGCAAACCTTTGGGCTACTATCAAAGGTTTGTTCATGTAGCCATCCAGATATATAATCAGACATAACGTCAACCGAGAAGATGGCTATAAATTGAGCAATCATTGGAAGGATGCTATTAATCAGGTAAAACCTTAAATGCTTCATGGTGTTGCCTTCATATCCACATCTCCCCTTGGCTTTTGCTCCTCCTTTTGCCCTTTGGTCCTTTCTAGCTGCTCTTCATTCATCAGCACTCCACTTCCCCCCCCCTCTTCTCCGTGACCCCTCTCTGACCTATATAACCTCGTATTACGGGAGTCCTTCTACCCACTTCAGCAGTTGTTTCTTGCTGTGGTTGTTTCACCTGATGACGGACGTTTGTGTTGTGCCCGAAACGTGATTTAATTTATTTTATACCTACGTGACTTTACCGAAAGAACCATAGAGTAAACATCTAGCAAACTTGGGTGGTCTATACTAACCAGACTCAACAATGCTTACCTTCTAAGATACGAAAGACTAAACACATTTAGGATGACCTTTTCAGAGGCCAGTCACAAGAGAAATTGCTCAAAAGCTGAACTATTCGATGTGCGGCTCACAGCATAATGAGAAGTCATGACCATAAAAAATGTATGGCAATGAATTCAATTTTGAGAGAACTTTTTTTTACAACAAGTAAAGTGTGCATCTCTGTTTATTATCTCATTATTATTCAGGACAAGTGTGCATCACGGTGAGAGATGCATAACTTTACATAGCAAAATATTTCTCTCAGATAATGCTAAAGAAACCATGTGTGCAAGCTTTATACACGCAGACTACCACAAAACATACAGCAAGAGGCTATCAGTAATTTTACAAAACATCAAGAAACAGAATTGTAGACAAATATACAAAGGTTCACAGCTTGTGTGAATACAAGCACTGAAGCATTTCAGGGTAGAAAGGCAAACAGAAAAATTCTGACATTTACCAACCAGCTGTTTAATAAGTACGACTTGATAAACAGACATTTTAATTGAGATAAAGCCTGTCGATTTAATACACACATTTTCCCCACTGTGGTGTAATTCAACAAGTCCGGTGCCAAAGCCCCATAACTTTTGACAAAAAAGAAACAATAAACTAAAAAATATATTTTATTTTCTGAACTTATTGAATTATTTACTTATGTTTTAATGGCGCTAGTATTAACGTCACGAAGTAATGCAGCAGACATTCATTCCGAGAACAGCGAACGGTAGGGTAAGCTTCCCGGATTGCTCACGTTCACTCACTCAACATTGTTTGGAAAACACCACAAGCCCAGTTTGGTCCTTTTAGTTGAAGCTACCAAAATACGAACACATAAACAGGAGATGAAACCTATTTATCCAGTTGTCATGTGAACAGAGACAGGGGTGCCAGGAAATGGGTACAGGTAATACTTGTGTAGACTTGCATGGGTTTTTTTTCTTCATTTGGATAACTATTCTACACAATGTTAGACCAGATTTGGGACCAGACTTGCTGATTTACGTTTTCAAACAATGAGATTCCAATATTTGACACCAGAGGATTGCATCATGCTAAGATGAACACTTTTAGATAGTTACTTGTATTCATGTGTAGCATGTAGGCAATATGCTTTAGGTCAATTACTTTACTTACAGGCCTGATTAACAAAATAAAAAAAACGCAAACTGAAACATCTCAGCACTCTTCCACTAGTATATGCTATAATTGGCAAAAAAAAATTGAAAGCGGATTATCTACATTTAAAATAGAAGTTTCTTGATGCTGGTATCACTCGTAAAAATTTATTTTTTCCCTGCCCCAAAACCATCGCAAATATCCAATCAATGCAATTATTGTGTTTTACTATCGTTGGCTGAATCGTAGAAAATGAGTATTATCCATTGCAAACGCACTCACCACAAATATGAATGTGTGCAAGTATGCACACACCTTCACATGCCTCCCATGTTTTGCAGAAGTGACGGACGAACTTTTTGAGCATAAATAATCTTGCTGGCTCAGCCAGTAACTCAGCAATATCCCGAGGGACACAGCAAAAGTTTTTGGAAAAGCAAAAAAATATATCAACAGAAACGGGCGTCCTCCGACTTCTGTCCATCAGCGGCCCCTTCCTCCCCGCCCAGGCACTCCATCTCGAGCACCGCCTCTTGGACCACTATCTCGTCCACCGCCCCTCGCCATGCAGTCTCGACTGCCCCCTCTCGGACCGCCGCCATCCCGGCCAACGCCACCCCCTCTTGGGCCACCGTCTCGGCCGCCCCCTCGGGGCCCAATGTCTCGGCCGCCTCCCCTGGGCATGCCATCTCGCCCGCCACCCCCCCTCGGCATGCCCTCCCTCGGCATGCCCTCCCTCGGCATGCCCTCTCTACCGCCCCTTGTCATCCCCTCTCGGCCGGCCCCCCGGAGGGCTCCTCCACGCCTGTGCGCCCAGTCCGCGTTGCCTCCTCTCTGCATGGGGGTCCTCTGGAGCGACGCCATGCCGCCGGCCCCACTGTTGAGGGGGCCCATGAAGGAAGGGGGGCCCTCGTCCTCACCGCGGTACGGGTCGTCGCGGGCATCCATGCGCCCGGGACCGCCACCGCCTGCAAGAAACGCAGCACATTTCCCTCCTCTGTGTTTGTCTCTTGCAGGTTGTGGGGGAACTGATAATAGTCCGCCAACTTCATGTTACATGGTCAACGGTCATGTGAGACTTACTACTTTAAAATGTCCGGCAAACATTTATCCATCATTGCAAGCATCTTAGCCTCACTAACTCAGTACTAGGGGCAAATATTTTCGACCAGGCAACACCATGCGTCTAATTTTAGTAAGATCAGTGACAGCATGGTTAGGCCTTCAGCCACCAGTGGATTGACAATGAGCTTTAATTTACTATAATTTACTTGTTGTATAACAACATGGGGCTGGGAACAAGATTAATTGTCAGTATTAACACGAGCAGACTTAACTTTCCGGACTGCTGTGGACGCCTATCACTTCACCGACAATGTTCTATTTTGTTGGGCTGCATCTCCCTTCGAACGAGTACCTCTGATTGGGCGGTCGTCCAGGGGCGATAGGCCAGATTCTCCATCCCTCCGCTCCCCGGGGAGCCCTCCGGGTCCCTCGTGCCACGGTCGCTTGCGCAGCGGCAGAGATGCCGTGTCCATCGCGAGCAGCGAGGGTGGCCGTTCGCGAGAGACGCCCGAGGGGCTGTCGGGGGGTGCGGGATAATCGCCTCGCCGCTCCTCGCCTGCCACGCGCAGGAAAAACAAGAGCTCGAACTTGGTAACGCAGTTTAAATGGCACGTGCGTTAATGCGTCATATAACAAAAAAAATGTTGCTCTCATTATTAAACCGCTGCATTGAAAGACGGAATTGCACGATGAAGAAATGCACAAAGCACTGCATCACCTTGGCTAATTGCTCCATTGTTGATTAATGGAGTTTGCCAAATCAAATTGAAGGAAATTAACATCTGGCAACAAGTGGATCAGGTCATAGCTTTGTAATTGTTGAGGTGACTTATTATTATAAATAATAAAACTTAACTTTTCATGCAATGTCCCATAATATCCACACTGACCATCATGGTGAAAAATGATGAAGTAATCCCCCCATGACATTCCAGAATCTTTATTTATCCTGGAGAAATCTCATGAGCTAATGAGCTCTTTTTCACAGATGTCCAGTAGGAGGCGAGTCAGAAAGTTATAACAAGAAACAATACAGAAGAATGATATGTGTGCAAGTGCAGGAAAAGTAAGAAAATTACTAAAAATAAAGAAATAAAAGGTAAGGCCCACTGAGCTATTAGCTCTATTTGAGAAGCGACCTGCCCACAAATGGTAGGTCAACAAAGTGGCTTACGACGTGTAAATTTATAGCAGCCAAATAATCAAACAAGAATAGGGAATCGTAACAATTAATAGAATATTTAAATGCTGAGATTGGAGGCGAATTATTACATGCCTACCAACAAGAGACCAGAGTGTTCCCTTATGTAACCGTCACAACAGTGGTGTCTCAAGTCCTGCAGATTAAGTGGTGGACAGAGTTGGGAATGGTGGGGGAGGCATCACCTCTGGGCAGCAGGCGACCGTGCCCAAGTCCTCGCTGGTCGTCCTCATACTGACGCGGAAAATCGTCATCTCTGTCCCGTCCTCCGCGCCGGAAGCTTTTGACAAATGACAATTACATGACTCACTCATGTACAATGCTCACATTCCGAGTGTCTTATTGGTAATTACAGCAACTGTCTTGATAATGCACAAGTTGCACTAAGTTGGATAAAGTTCATTCATGCTTTTCTTTACATTAGAAGCTACCCATAGTATTGACATAATCACTATTGATGGTAAATTGATGTATCTGTTTCATCCAGAGAGGACTGAATCCCATTGGTTAATACATTGGATCGTAAACATGAAAATCATTTATGGACACTATTTATACACATTAAACATGTTATCTAAGGTATAAAATATCTTCTGTATAAAAATTCGCACAGTGCAACTTACATTCACCCAAATTAGCCGAGGATCTTGTTTGAGATAATAAATCTGAAGTTTAGAAATTGTCAAGTTAAAGTAACATCCATTACCGTAATCATCCTACTCTGAAAAAGCCTGCTTTCTGGAGAATGAGATGTTGTGTCATGTAGTTTATAACCAAGACAAATGTAATCTTGACCCCAAAATCATGACAATTCATCAATTCAAAATGGGTTGGGGGGTGGTGGTGGGGAAGGTTAACCTTTAACATGCCTACCGACAACAAACCTAGGTCAGCCAAAGTCGCTTAAGTTTCAACTGACTGTGACTCGCTGTCAGTTTGGGCCTGAAGTCGTTTCCAGGCGCTGCTCACCCATCGTCAAACTGATCCATCGGGAGGGGCTCTCCGTCCCGGCCTCGTCGGCCCCGGGGTTCGAAATCTCTAGGGCGATCGCCCTCAAACTGCTGCGGGTACCCATCGCCCGGGAACTTAGGGTCAAACCTGTGACCGCACAGTACAGTGGGGTTAACAGTCAACGACTAAGGAATGTGTGTGAATGACGGACGGGGCAACATTAGATCAAGTACTCCAGTATTTTTGTTTTACTTGTGGAAGTGACCATTTTCCACTATTATTTAAATTCCTCAATTAGATTCTTGATCAGACATGCATTACATTATTATGTAAACATGATGCCTTGAATAAAGGTGTCAGTTTTTGTGCCAGTTAAAAGGGTAAAACCTATTCCTATATGCATTACATTAATTCTTTATGGCTTTACCCCCATCGTATCTTTTGAAATAATTGAATATTTGAAACATTACTTTTATGTTATTGAAATATTTACATTATACGCGATAAACTGGGGGTAAAGCGGTGAAGTGGTGAGAAGCGTACTGCACTACGGAACCTAGCAACCCGAGCTCGATACCCAGCCACGCTAACATCAGCGGCAGGTGATCTCCTGCTAGCTCCAAGCGCCACTGTTCCACCGCAGGTAACTTGCCTGTCTTCTCTCCGCCTGCCAAAGCGACCGTCGTCCAGGTCCCTGTCGGCCGAAGGGCGCCGTCGGTCGAGCATGCCACCACGAGCCCCGTCCCTTCTCCTCCTGCTGCCATCCTCGAATGGTGCAAACTCATCACCAGGCTAACGAGGTAACGGAAAGAGGATTAGTGTTACGATAAGACCTTGGCTACGTCAGGTACAGGATTGACGGCCACTCCTGAAAATTCCACTTTGACCTGACTCGCGTTTGTAATTTTGTTGGGTGAAATAACGTTTGTATATAGACTCAGTTCATTACTTTGTGATAAGCGGTTTTCCTCTGGAATTATTGGCCTCGGCCATAGGGATGTGGTATTTTCACCTATGGCTCAGGGCCAGCAATGGAAATGGCCACCACTCCATGACAGTTTTGAGCATGCAGATACTTTTGAGCTCTTGAATTAAATTAATGTATAGAATTGTTTGGTATTATGCTCAATATGATGATGATGAAGATGATGAATATTTCTGACCGGTGGCCTCCTCCAGGGCTCATCCGAATTTCCAGGCCGTTGCTGCCAGTTTTCCTCTGTCGGGCCACGATTCCAGCCCTCATCTCTTCTTCCCTCGAATTCTCGTTTTCCTGGTCCAAATTCCATGCCGTATTCTAAGTGACAGAGCAAACCAACAACCAGAATTACGCAAACATTACATCAAAGTGACAACCCTCACATCTCAGCACAAGGCATATGCTGATCATGATAGGATTCAGATAATCAAGATTATACAATCTGCTACCCCTCAGTGGTAAGTGTACACCCAGCTGTGCAATTTTAACTTGATGAATGTATTTGCATTATTGGTCTAAGGACCACTTCGCAGGACATCAAGTAAGTTTTGCTATGTATGGAATGGCTCTGACCACAGACGTATAGAATTTCCATCACTTGCTCAAGGGCACCAATGGATTATCACAGTGTGGCCCCATTGCTCGTTAGAACAGGACAACACTTTCATATCAATAGCTGCACCTGAGAACACAATATTCTTCACACAAAGCAGAAGACACGGAGGGAGGGGGGGGTATTGTAATTATATACTACGTTAGTAATCAGTTAATTAGCATATGTTTCCCCTATAAGGAATTGTAATTGTAACATGTATTATTTAATAATACGCGTCCAGGCCGCACTAAGTCTGTAGCTGTCAGAGTGATTACAGTTACAGTGAAACCTTGGATTGCGAGTAACTTGGTCTGGGAGTGTTTTGCAAGACAAGCAGTATGTACAGTATACGCTTTGTCTGCCGAGCATCACGTGATCACAACTGAGCCAATGGTTCTTCTCTCCCTCTCGCTGCAGGATTTTGGGTAATAATCTCCCATGCTCGGTCTCAGTCGGCGTGCCTCACTCGTATAGTCAACATCCGTGCGAGCGTATACTGTTTACTATATAGTCTTGTGACCACGTTTGTGTGTGCGTAAAGCATTTTTTTTATTTTGTGTCCAAGTGTAGCGACTGTTCTTTAGTATCTGTACTGCAAGTGAAAGTCGTCCTACACAATAACCCTCCTCCTCCTCTCTCTTGTCTCCCTCACACCAGCCGCGATTAAATGTAATTAATAAATTTGATTACTTTAAATTAATTATTTTTACATGAATACAGTTTTTTGGGGTTTTGGAACGAATCATCTGAGTTTCCATTATTTTGCTTTGATATACGAGTGCTTTGGATTACGAGCACGTTTCCGGAACGAATTATGCTCACAATCCAAGGTTTCACGGTATTTGTATTTCTCTCAATTTCAATGGATTCTCTAATTAGTCTTGGCCAGTAATAATTAGTTTTACACAACACTTCAACGTTACCAAAATCAACTGAGTGGCCTTGTTGGCAAGCATATTCCGCCACTGCCGACAATTGTGTTTTAGAAAATTTAATATTTCTTTGGTGTTCTTTTAGTCTGACGCTGATGTTACGTCCCATCTGTCCAATATAGCATCTGCCACATAAGCAATTCATCTGATATACACCTTCTGTTGATAATTTAGGTAATTCGTCTTTAGTACAAGATACCAGTTTTTGAATTTTGTGTACTGTACCAAATCTTACTTTAATGTTTTGCTTTTGCAAAACACGGGCTAATTTGTAAGTTACTCCTGAGATATATGGTATTATAATTCTTTTAATAATCTGATCACTTTCAGCAGTGTTGCTTTGCAAACGTGATTTGGCATTGAATGCTTTTATTTGTAGCCATTCTGTCGTAGTGCTTCTTTAACATGTTTAATCTCTCTCCCTAGACAATTAACTGATTACTAATCTATTATATAATTACAATACCCCCCCTCCGCCTCTGATCTCTGCAGCTGATTGGGTTAAATGATGACATCACCCTGCTGCTTTACTTAAGACCGGGAGCAAGTGGAGGGCTTCACTATTCTGGCAAATCGCCCGATGATGCTGGATGTTAACTACCAGCGAAACGTAGTACTACTCAAAAATTGTAAATGTTGTGGATTCACTCTTCAACACACCGGTGGGCTAAAAAGTAGTGAACTATTTGTCTTTTGTCAACATGACACATTTTTTTACTGATTGGTGGAGGGTTGCGACACATTTATAAATAACGCGATTCTAACCCAAAAACCTTGATTGTGAATGAACACGACAGTTATTTCACGGAGCTTCCAACCTTCAAAGTGCCTTTGCCGGCCGTGGTCATCAGGGCCAGGTGGCCCACGAAATTCGGGGTTGTCAAACTCATCCTGATCGGCAAGGGATCCCCCGCGTTCCAAGGGGGCCTGGAAATCTCGCGGTTCTTCCTTCACAGGATCCCCACCAAATTCCTCCTGATGCAGCATAGGTCTGCCTTCACCTGCCAACCAACAAGAAGAACATAGCGACCATTAACAACCACGTGTAAGCAAAGCAAAGAATAACAATTACAATAAATGGCACTCCCGAGTTTCAAGACTACCTTTTGAGTGAGGGTTCTTCATTGGGAAGTTTGGCCAATTGTCTTTCAATAAGTACTTTGCGTGCCAAAGAAAACCACGTGACCTGGTTAAAATACACTAAGCATGTTAAGGGAGACAACACTAAAATGGCTATTACACAGATGAGATCGACCTACACTGCCATTCCAAAGGTAACATTGTTCTTTGTAAGTTACGAATGCTGTTCACCGTCATTTGGTCGGTCACACTTAATGCACAAGCAGCGAGCGGGCTCAGGCTGCTATGTTGATCTGTGAGAATGCTGCCTGGTGAGTGGACGACGGGTTGCGTTTGGACGAAAGCGTGCGCTCACCTCGGACTGAACCCGCTGTGCTCCTGTTTGGTGTCGGAATCCTCGCTGGTCCTGATGATCCCTGCTACTCGCGACATTGGTTGTTTTAGCCGACAGTGATTGTGGGGAAAAAAAAGGAAGATTAATTAATATCACTGTTACATCATATACTATCATATAGAGCACATTCAGAAATATTCAATATTTGATACAACGGTGTTAAATACAAGCGATTAAACAGCCCTTGACGGAAATGAAGACAAGTATTTGGTCATGGATTTAGAATGTAGTGGTTGCATTGACATTGGTGGTGGGGTGTAAATCCTGATGGTTTATTGCAGCCTAATCTCGATGTACATAGTAACATAAGGTCTTAAACTGTTCCTGGCAAACAGTAAGTTGTTGATAACTTCGTAAATTTTTGGAACAAAATTACTTTAATATTGAAAATAAACACTTTCAAATGACATGGATATAGTTAATATTTTACCGATTAACGTGGATATCCAGATAACCCCATTACCGCAGACTTGACAGCATCTTGAATTATCAACGAGCGACATCAAGAAAATCCTGCTCATGTCAAGACAGTTTAGTGTCCTTCCATATAAAATCACGACTAAATTTCAGGAGGGTCGCACATTATAATCTTTGGTAATTTCTATTTTTTGACATGTAGAAGGAACCCAGAATGTCTTGGATAAACTCACACATACTGGGGGGTTAAACACTCACAGATCCACACACAAATGTATAAAGGAATCCTTTGCTGCACTCCCATCACCTGCCCACCGTGCTACCCGAATGCATCTGTGCATAACACGAGAAATTTGTGCAAACTCACCGAGTGCCCTGGAGGGGCATCTCCTAAGAGCCCCTGCCTCAGCGGGGGTCCACGTTGATGTGCCTGCCCCTGTCCTTGCGGGGGTCCGTGCTGCTGTAGGCTCGCAGGCGACAGTCCCCCAGGTCCACTGGGGCCTTGGTGGCCACTGAACGGCGATGAATTGGGCCCCTGATTTGGGCCTCCTTGGCTGTCAGGCGGCTCAAAGAGCTGCCCCCCCCTGGGTCCGTCGCTGGCATTTTGCTGCGGACCTTCACGAGGAGTTCCGATAAATTCCGAGGACCCGGATTGCAGAGAGCTGCGTGGGGAGAGTGGCGGTCCTTGAAATCCGCCGGACTGGGGTCCAAAATGCTGGGGGCCCTGCTGTGGTCCCTGCATGGGTCCCTGGGCCTGTACTGGTCCCTGACCCTGCATGGGTCCCTGGCCCTTCATGGGGCCCTGGCCCTGCATGGGTCCCTGGCCCTGCATGGGTCCCTGGCCCTTCATAGGTCCCTGGCCCTTCATGGGGCCCTGGCCCTGCATGGGGCCCTGGCCCTGCATGGGTCCCTGGCCCTTCATAGGTCCCTGGCCCTGCATGGGTCCCTGGCCCTGCATGGGGCCGGGTCCCTGGCCCTGCATGGGGCCGGGACCCTGGCCCTGCATGGGACCAGAGCCCTGGCCCTGCATGGGGCCGGGGCCCTGGCCCTGCATGGGGCCGGGGCCCTGGCCCTGCATGGGGCCGGGGCCCTGGCCCTGCATGGGGCCGGGGCCCTGCATGGAGCCCTGGCCCTGCATGGGGCCCTGGCCCTGCATGGGGCCCTGGCCCTGCCCCTGCATTGAGCCCTGGCCCTGCCCCTGCATGGGGCCCTGGCCATGCATTGGGCCCTGGCCATGCATGGGGCCCTGGCCCTGCATGGGTCCCTGGCCCTGCATGGGGCCCTGGCCCTGCATGGGTCCCCGGCCCGGCATGGGCGAGGGCATTGGTCCCTGCATTGAGATGGGCTGTGCCATGTTTGAAGGGCCGCCTTGGGACGGTGGCCTATTGGGGGGTCCTCCTTGAGGCCTCAGTTGCTGCCCTTGCATGTGCAGTGAAGATGGTGGTCCACCGCCTTGCATGCCACCCGATGGGGGTGTCTGCCCCATTCCTGAACCGCCAAGCCCTTGCTGAGGCCCACGGGGACCTTGCGGGCCACCGGGTCCAAGTGGTCCAGACAGACCCATTTGTCCCTGCATATTACCCATGTGGCCGGGCATACCGTGAGGCCAGTTCGGTCCAGGGCCGGGGCCTTGCTGCATATTGAGCCCAGGAGGCCCTTGCGGTCTGAACTGGCCCATGGGCCCACCAGACATCATGCCTGGGGGCATGTTGGGAGGGAAGTGCTGCTGTAGGCCAGGCATGGGTCCCTGGGAAAAGCCCTGAGGGTGCATATTTTTCTGCATCATGCCCAGCGGGGGCTGCATTTGTACAGGTCCTTGATTCTGCTGTTGGTTTTGAACTTGTTCCATGAGTTTCTGAGTAATACGGTCAGACTTCAGTTGCTGAAAAACCAATGGCAGAAATGGTCAATTAATTTAAATAATACACATTCATATGAATAACTTTGACATGAGAAAAAACTATATTTTAACAGTAGGTTTAACATAATTCCCAGAAAATAGATCTTACAGCACTTGCTGGTAAATATTATGTTTTGGTCACCCGCTCATTCACAAATATTATTCAAATTCCCATGGTGCTTTTCCCTGAGAAGGAATTCCACAGTTAATGTTTTTCATGTGCAATGTCTCACCTTGCACAACATTATTTTGGGCAATTCTTACAACGTGGTACTCACCGAGTAACAAACATTACCATGTTATTAGTGACACCACCCAACTAGTATTAAGGCAATGCTTTGCAGAAACCCTGGGGTCAAATATAATCTCTATTACAATAGCAATGTTAACTGAAATTACATTTACAATGACATGGTGATTGAAATGCATTCAGAATTGCACAATGACACTTAGTAATTGACCTTGTAATGCTCAATTCTCAAACCACAACAGCTCTTAAGTCCTGCATGGGGAAAACATTGTAACGCAATCAAGCCTGTGTCAAACCTACCTCGTATAGAGCAGGGTTTGTGTATTGCAGCGCCGTCAGCTCTTGACGAATCTCCGCCTGTGACTTCATCTTGTCTTTCTTATCTTCAGGAGGCTGAACTTTCACATTGCCACCCACAGGGAGCATAGGAAGTTTGTTCTGCTGCCAAGCCTGCAAATCCAAAAACAGTCATAACAAAACATTAATACATAGCCAATTTAAGGCATTTTATTTAGGTTGCTCACTGCTCTTAATATTCTCATTTAAAAGTCATAAATTCTGCTCCAAGCACAAGGAAAGTATCGATAAGGGTGGTCAGGTAACAAAGCAAAAAAAATACTATAAATATGATTAGAAGCTACAGTATAAGAAGAGGGTTTTCCCCTTTTTTCTGGCAACAAAATTTAAATATTTTTACGAGGAATCATGTCTGCATTAACCACAATACTTGTGGTCAGAATGCAAACAAAAAACACACGACCGCTTGTGTTGCGATCAAAACGTCGTGATTTGTTTTATTTGATTTGATTTCTAACTACGATACTTTACCGAAAGAACCAAAGAGTACACTGATAATATGGCATTGTCCTTAAAACTGATTGGTTCACACCAGAGACAGCTTTCTTTTGAGCCTCGTCTCAAACGGTGTTAGACCAGAGGGTGCCAAAAAAAGAAGCCACAGCGTGAAAATAAGCCAAGCATATTTATGAGTAATCAATTGCCACATCAAAATGCATCTCTTCATAAACAGTTAATTCTGATGCATGATTATGTACAATCTATGCAAATAATATGCAAAAGTACATTTCAGCAAATAAGAGGCCACGAAGACAGGTGGTGCGTGGATGCTGGCTGACCTGCTGGAACTGCGCGGGGATGGGTTTGGAGTAAGGGATCTTCTTTGTGGGGAGTTTCTTCTGTTCTTTAATGAGCTCCTCCACACCCCAGTCCAAGCCTGGGATCGCCACTTCCGGCTCAGCCTCCACTACCTTCTCTGTTTGGTGTCGATGAAAACCATTAATACCCCCACGGAAAATATACATTTCGTGAGAAAACAAACTCCGTACACAACTGTGTTTTTAAATGTTTGTATTTATTTGAGCACTTAAGAAACGACAGAGTTGTATTATTCTGCAGCTATGTTAACTTGTCTTCAGTCTATATATATTTCATTATTGATTCTTACAATGTAATGCATAGTAACTGTCCTCACTCAATAATACACATTTCAGTTGTTTTTATAGCCGAAACATTTCACAATTTTAAATTGCAGCAGCCTGGCTATTTTGGTCAAATTATTTAAATGTGTTTATTGTGTACAAACAACATTTTTCAAGTTTATGAACAATTAGGTAAAATTACGTCACAAAACTAGAGAGGTACCTTTCTGCTCTTGTTCCAGCACTTGCTTGAGCTGCTCAGCGATGCCCATGCCTGGGATGTTGGGAGCACTGAGTGGCTCATTGTCATCTGTATAAAAACATGCAAATTATACAGAACACTCGCATCTCTCTCCTCCATGCACTTTTGTATTGTGAAATATACAAGAGCAGATTGAAAAGTCCACGGCTTGACACAGTCACGTCGCTACAACAAATGGAAAAATGTTTAGTTAAAAGTACAATACTTTGATATAGGATCATCAATTGAGCAACTCACATTTTTTATTGATGTTCAAATCGTATTGTCTGCGTGTAAACTTAAAAATGTGGTGGTCTGAATACAGTCAGGATAGCCGAGAAAACTCTGAAAAAGTACACATGAACCAAACTTGGCTCTGAGAGTAACTCCGCATTTCCATAATTAAAGAACTACTTTTTGGGAAAGCAAATCTCGAGTGACGTCTCCTATGAATGAGTGGTTTGACGTGCAAGATAAAGTGTTTTTTTCTGGTCAGGGATTCACATTTCGGAACATCAATAAAGCAGGTGGCATTGCACTTCCATGTGAGGCCACCAACTTTTCAACTATGTGTACAGTGATTTATAAAATCATATGGGCTCATGGGTGCATACCGTATTCTGCAATCATATCATCTGACATGTTTCCTGGTAGGAGGTTGAGGTTGTATCGGTCTCTCATCTTGTCTCCTGGCCTGTTCCTCGTCCAAAATTTACTTCACTCGCACATGAACAAAATGAAAAGAACAAAACAAATTAATAGAACAAATTAAGCGATGATACTTTGTTGGCAGTGGTGCAAATAACAAAAAAAACTCAGTGTGTCCAGTATACTGCATTAAAAGAAAAGATCTGAAAAAAATGGGTGACTCTCAGGTAAAGACGCTTCTTCGTGGCACATTAATGGTGTACGAGCTATGAATGAATCCCCAAAACGTCCCCTGTCATATTTTCCCTTAAAGGGAGCGTTATTGACATAGAAGTACAAGAAGACACTACAGTATTAATTTTAAATTACCCACAGATAAATTACATTTCTTATTTGTCTGAAGTAAAAATTAGAATGTCTTTAAATTAAGAAAGAAGTGTGCAGTACACATCTCAACAATGGCACGTTACCAATATGAGAACAATTATGATGATTAATGTACAATCGACCACTGCGTGAAGCCCAAGACAATTATTTACATTGAGAACTTCAATTCACACAGCATCAAGATGTGACAGCTGTACACAATTTGGGGACATGCACACCACAGATACCAGAGTAAATAGTCCTGTTCTCAAGAATTTTCCTCCATTCAAGCTTCTGTCTGGCCATCGAACAAAGATGGTCACTGCATCGCACGCTTTCAGATAAGCTTCTGCGGCCGTCTGGTAACGCTCTCCCTTCCGATATTAGGCAGTCACTGGAGCTATACACTTTTAAATGTAGATTGAAAACTAATTTCTTAAGAACTCATTTTGGTGTTTAGTTTTTTGTCCTTCCCCCGCACCCCCGATTAGGATGGTTGGCTACGTACGGCGTGAAAGAACTTCAACATACATACAAGCATTGCGCTGCAAGGATCAGTTTCGGGATACAGCCTTCCCAGGCCCAGTGGACACACGAACCTGGTGTGGTCATTGGACCCCGAACAGAGGATGTGTCCCAGCGGGTGCCAGGCCAAGCTCCAGATCATGCCTTCATGTGCCACGTCTGTGCCACCGACTTCCTTCTCCACCCTGCCAAATGAATGTGTGTGTGTGTATATCACCACACAAACACACAAATATCACTCGTATAGCCTTAACAGACTGTTGGGGCAAGTGTTGTTAGAGAATAGCACCTATGAAAAGCCGGCCAGCATCACGCCTGGCCGCCTTTGTCTCCCAAATGGTGATGTTTACACATCACACCAAGTACTCGTTTTTGAGGCCGAGTCAACCTAGGAGAGGTCCAGGACCGATTCAGACAATCGTCACGGGTGTGGACCATAAGCAGGAATCGAAATCGAGTCGTCAGGTTCGGAGTGCAGTGGGCTAACCGTTACACAACCGCTCTGCACACACACAATCCCGCACCTCCGAATAATACGGTTGGGTACATATGGTGCGAAAGGTGGTCAACATATATACATAATCAAACACACACCAATAGGACAGTCAGCAATATGTGCACAAATATAGATTTAAGTATGCTACGTAGGAATATACTTATTTTAGTTCAGCCCTGTTAAATATACAAAAGCTTGGTTTTATTAATCCTATTGTGCAAAGCAGAAACCTGGAAGCTGAAAAAGTAGAAGCTAAGAATATTTGAAACGTCCATACCTGGAAATAAGATGGGTTAAACATGAGGAATACTGACATTAAAAGGAACTAGGAATAGAAAGTGACATCTTAGACGTAATCTAAATTAGACAATTATCTTACTTCGCGCACATAGATAGGACGCACGAGTAGAGATTCCCCAACATATTCATATGTGGAAACATCAGTGGAATAGGTATTGGAAAGACGCCCAAGGAAAAATGGCTCGATAACATCAAATAAGATTGTCTGGTACTAGGAATCACACTCCCACAAGTGGATAGGTTAGCCAAAGAGAAATGCAGTTGACTGTAAACGGGCTGCCAGTGGGACACTTATCAATGTCACCGAGGCACCGAGTAGTCAATACAAAATAAGTTAACACGTAGAACTCACCCGACATGCCAGAACAATAATGATCCATCTGATCCTCCACTTGCGAAGAAACCCTCATGTATTGGATGCCAAGCCACGGCTAAAAAAAATATAAACCACACACACACAAACATTGTTATCAGGCTTGTGTTTAAATACTGTGTAGACAGAAGCTATTCATCCGAACCGTTTGTAACAGTAGTTCACCCCATTCCAAGCATAGTGGCGCATGCATCCAATACCATAGCTTTGGAGGCGAGATTAGTGCCTAGCACAGAGTTCACCACGCGTATTAGCCTCCCACTGGCCAGTTCATGGCAGGACAGGAAGGATGCTGCTGATCTCTTTTAAATAATTGCAAGTATAATTTCATCTTACGCAGGAAGTTTCTCCCAGTACTCCAGCTTGCTCCTCTTGATACAACACTGAACTGATAATTGGCGATACATCCGAAGCAGACAAAAGCCACCGCCAGCCATTATAGTTAGTGGAGAAGTCAATACCACAAAAAGGACATCCCTGTGGAGGGAAGAACCGGGGCATTAAAAATTGGAACATCAAGCAGCCACCTGTGGCCTCCTTCTTGTGTCCTCGGAAGATCTGCACTTCCTCCTTCAGGTTGCGGATGTCGAAGAGCTTGCAGAGGTGGTCACGTGATGCCGTGAGCAGCCAGTTCCCGTTCTGGTTCCACTTCACCTCCATCACAGTGTTCTTGTGCGCATGCCTGTCGGTCGGCAGTCCACAAGAGGATCGTGGCCCAATCAATGCAGGAAAGAGAGAAGGAAAATGATGAAGAGTAACACGTGGAGGATGGAGAAAGGGGAACATTTCTGAAGTCAGCTATCAAAATCAAGGACCTGTAAGGCAGTTGGCACTTCACAATCAGTAGGCAAGCTAACAAACGAATCAAGGCAGCAGGATGGCAATTAGAGGATGCACGTTAAAGCACACGCACACTTGAACTGATAACATAAATGTTGATATTTCAAGTGGGAGGATCTGGCTATAGGATAACTCGGCATTGGTGGTGAACATTAGAGAGGTACAGAAAGAGATGGGAAACATAGCAATACAAACCACGCAATAGAAATCATATCGTGAATGTAAAATGAAAACTTAAATATACATGTGAAAAAATATCCTGTTTAAATCTGACGGACACAATTCACACTGGTGTGGCATGGCTTGCCAGTTTTTATGCCTTTATCTATCAGTGTAATCGTGTATAACAGCAGTTAGTAAAGATATCACCATGTTTTGGATGTTGTTATTTTCCCTGATTTCACGTAACTAATCTAATTCAGACTATTGCATGTATAGCATGTGGTTGGGCATGCCATGTTCTTTTAATCTGTTGGCTATACGATGTTGTTTTTATGTTTTATCACCTGTCTACTTGTTAAGTATTGTTTCTGTAAAACTTAAACATAGACTTACCAAAGCATAGCCTATGAAATGCTCCAATCCGAAATAAAATCAAGCAAAACAAAAAATGTGTGACCTCCCACTGATCAAACGTCAACTGGCGGCTCCGCTCGAGAACCTAGCTTGCTGGTCTGGCGAGTGCATGGAGGGGGAGTTGAGTGAGACGACAGGAGAAAGGCAAGAGCAATCACAAAGACACTTTGGCTGCAGTTGACTTTCACAGAACCTATAACATAAAGAAAAACAGAGCGACATTATATTTATCCCCCCCACTCACAGTGTGGCCAGGCTGTGTCCAGACTTGGGGTCCCAGAACTTGATGGGCTGCTGGCTGTCCTTGCTGCCAGACACGAGCAGTCCCTTGGTGGGGTGCCAGTCCACGCACTTCACGTCTGCTCCATGTCCTAAGCGTTCACATCATGGCGTCGTATTAGTCCACACACCGACGGTTGGGGTAAAGTCCCACACAGCTGCTGTGAATTCTGCTCCGTCAAGCGAGAGGGCATGGTTGTACCCTCTCGACGGTGGTGGTGGTGGCGGAGATGGACAGCCGTGTAAGCCAGGTGCTTGTCGGAAGTAGGGTTGGCGGGTCGAGTGGATAATGCGTGAGACTCGCAACTGGTAGTGCTGAGAGCTGGCCAGCAGATGGTGGTACAGGAAGGTTGCTGAACCATTTGGGGGGATTTTTAGTGTTGTAAGCTCTTTAATGGAAATCTTGTTGAGGTATTTCTATTCTATGGGCTGGACTCTTTGTTGCACTTGTCAGTAATACATGGGAGTGGCAAGTCTGTTCACCTTTGTCAAGCGCTGCTTAATGATTACCCATGTCACGTTGGTCATGGGAGTTGACCATACTTCACTGCGCTAGTATGGGTTGAAGAATGGCTAGGCTCGGTTCAATATCACTCACCACTGATATTATTAGTGGCTGGAAACTGAACTTAAGTCCCAAAGTTCATAATGCAATGCACGATTCACTGTGCCACCAATCCACTGGCGGCGATATCGGGAACGTGTCCTTGATATGTATTTCTATGATGAATGGCAGCTTGATGTAGATCAATAGGAAACATTTGTCAAAATGCCTTTCGAGGGGCAATTTGTAAAAATGAAGTTCTGAACACCTACTGTCCAGATGTGAACATGAACTTTGTGCTTTATGGTCACGATGCATCTTGTGCGAGGCAGCATAGGAAAAGCTCGATTTTTGGCTAGCTTTGAAGGATTCAGGTTGACAAAACAAGCCTTGCGGTTGTAAAGGCAATGTCCCATATGGTGTTGTGGTAGTTTCATCCGAGAGATTCCATCCAGCACAGTACAGGAATGTGTAACGCCATTAACAAATATCAATGAAAGTGGTAAAATTGTAATTTTGGCCACGTAAATATTTCCTATTTTTTTGTGAACACGAACATGGGTTCTCTTACATCCAGCAATATTTCAAGAAGTTTGAGGTTGAAGTTTTGAAAACCTGCATCGCCACAGGCATGTCAACCCACCAGGCTACCTAGTCACTTTCGCGTGCCCACGGGGCAGACGAGAGCAGTACGCTCCCCACGCAAGTACCTCTCAGGATCCTCTCCTCGTGACATCGCATGAAGTCCCACACTCGCACTGTTCCGTCGTCTGAGCAGGTGGCAAACTTGTTGTCCGTTGGAGCAAAGCTGCAATTGTGTGTGAGAACAGAAATACAATGGACAAGGGGGACATGAGTCAGCCCTAACACAAGGCTTCTTCCACTTAGCAACAAAATAATAAATTCTTCCTTCCTCCGTCTGAATTCGAGGGACAAATTGTGTTCATGTGAAGGTTCTGTATCCGGGGTGAAGTGTGGAAAGGGAAAGGTCGGTTGAAGTTCGCCAACAAGTTTGCAGCCTCCGGCCCGATGCGGCAACTGTCAAGAAATTAATTTGTAAAGCCTAATATGCATTGATAAAGGGCGCATGGTAAAAATATCATGTTGGCGCACCGAGCGCCAATGATAAAATGTAATACGTGATCAGACAATTCCGGTCATAAAGCGTAGAGCAGTAAAATGTAAATCACTTCACTCTGGTTTGAAAAGTCAACCAAAAAATTGGAGAAACACTTTACCCCGCTCTCAAAATACTCGACTAAAGGGTGGGCAACCTACCCGTAGGTCCGTGGCCACATTAAGACCTACATATTTACAAAGCGGCCCGCAAATTATAATTATCCATTACTGCAGGGTTACCCGCCGCCTTTCAATTTCAGAACTGGCGGTCCAACATCGACACGCTAGAGAGAGGAATGCAGGCACCGCATTAGTGAGGTAAAGGTAAGCCCCAATTCTATCTCGAGTTAAGGGCGCAGCAGTGGTGTTCAGGTCATGGGTTCGATCCCAACCCTGACACCTGCTATATATTTTGAGTTTGCATGATCTCCCCGTGGTTGTGTGGATTTGTCTCCTCTGGTTTTTCATCCACATTTATAAACATGCGCTTAGTATATTCGGCTGCCATACATTTCCACATAAGCCACTTCGTTGAGCCATCATTTGTGACCAGGTCGGTTCTAAAAAAAAAAAGAGCTATATAGCTCAGTGGACTTTACCTGGTAAAATAGAAACGTTTAAATTTCGATTTAAAGCTTTCGTGACTGCAAGGATTCATCTTCTTTGGTTCTTTCGGTAAAGTCACGTAGAATGAGAATAAAACGTCGTGAGAATTTTATTTTGTTATTTTATTTTATTTATTATTTTATTCTCATTCTAGAAACGTTTAAATAGTCCACGCTGTGTTAATGCCAAATGTATTTGAAAATTCTATTCGCTTCTCAGGAAGGAAAATGTAGGCTACCCGTTCTACAGTATAAGATCAGATTCCAACTTTCAGTGGATATTTAACCCATTCTGACCAATTTGAGCTCACTCTTCCAAACTGGACAGGATGTATGTAGAACTTCTTTCGCATCGTACGTAGCCAACCATGCTAATGGAACAGGCAGGTTTAAAGATGCGCGATTACCCATGCTATACTTGAACAGCACTCGCGCTTTCCAAAAGGACAAAATGCAGTGCGCATATTATTGTGCCGTTGAGGAAACAGATGCAATGGGCAGAACACAACATTTGCCCAAGGTTCTGCCTTGCCTGAAAGTGTAATAAACTATTTGCATGCGGCTCCAGAGCAGGACATTTTCTTGAGGCACATTTTATATCAATGCTGCATCATTTCCTCTTGAGTAGGCTTGTGTGCTGTAAATAAGTGTAATACTGCGATTATCACAATTATATCCAATGTAATTATAACATTCAATATTAAGTCAATTTAATGTTAAGCTTGCTCTAATAATAATTTAGAAAACTCAAAAAGAAGTCATTTAAGCTATTGTTTTATGCAAGTCGAAGCATATAAGCCAGACTACTCTGTACATCTAACATAAATGTGCCTAAAATAACAAATCCTACTTTATTGCACCAAAAACGTTCTCCTGAAAAAGCATTGGGATAAATTTGAAGCCTATTTAAAGTTGACAAAATCTGAAGACAGTAAACGTTCGTGAAAAACACCAGTGTTAGGATTGCATTTGGTTGCATTGTGGTTTTGAATCTGAGGTTTTGCAAAATTACGTCAATGGAGGCCATAAAGCTTTGTTCATGCGTGAATGCCCCCCCAATGGCTGTAAATTACACCAAGAGCCAAGATCATAAATGCAAAGCTTGAGACCTCAACATTATTTTGAAATCTGAAGCAAAATCCAATGACCTAAAGTCTATTATAACCCCGAGAGAACACGAGTGCGTGAAAAATTACGTGCACGGGCTGCTGTGCGTGTGTGGTCAACGTGGAGGTGTGGTCCTTCAAAACGTTTTCGGATTTTATTCAAAATTGCCATTCCTGGTGCCCTATCAATGGGTACGAGACGAAAAAAAATCCGTTTGGAAATCTTGTAGTACAGTGTAACTCCGTTTGTCCGATAACAGCTGTATAGTTTGTCACAGAACATCTTCATGAAAATCGTTCAAGTGGGCTTTTGATTTTTTTTTTACAAAACTCAGGATTCATTTCTTTCGCTCACTCTGTTAAGAAATTGTGTCGAGTGTATATTTTAATTCTCAGAGTTGAGAAAAAGCCAAATGAAGTAAAAAAAGAAAAATACTATTTCAGCCATTTCTTGTGCAGTCATTGGTGACTGAACTGCGACCATCAAATCACAAGACTTGAGAAGCTGATTTACTTTGGTGTGACTGCCGACATTAAAACACAAGACCTCAGCGCTATCACCATTCAGCCACCCTGCCACTTCAGCTGGTGTGTTTTATACACGAGTATACAACACTTTGTGAATGATTGTTTCGACTGATTTACCATCTCCCACGATGAAGTGCTTTCTTAAAGCATTAATATTTTTTCCAGTAGCTCACAAACTAGAGGTGGCACACGTATATACTCAAACTGGCAGTGTTTTGGGAGTTTGTGTTTTCGTAAAGTACTAACAGAATTACGTGCAGTTGAATTGATATTGGAATTCTATATAATCAGCCGCCACTTTGTGTCATGTCAGAAAAGATTTCACTCATTTTCTTACATTAGCATTTACGTCTAAACGTGTGCAAATTTCTTTGCATCCAGTGAAAAGGTAAACACCTGTAAAAAGGATGGACAACCCAAGTGAACAGCAACGTGTACGTTTTACAAGCTAAGTTGGTGTCTAGCGACAAGGCTGAAATAAATTCTAGTTCCAGGAGACCAGAAAAATAGGGTGCGCGTCCAGGGAAGTCTTGCATTCAAAACAGAACCAGCCGATGTGATGTTGAAGACGAGACAAGGGAGAGGGGGATCATGACGACAGCTGACATGGTACCCCAATGACCTAGTTTTTAGACTAGTCATGGGAGGATTGAGCCAGGGCTTGAACCCACCTTCTCCAGTGATTTCATGATGACGCAATAGGCAAAAAGATGTATGATTTCCAACTCAGGTTGAAAGCGCTAATGCATTACCTCTTATCTGTCCGTCTGTAATGGGGGGGGGGGCAGCATAACAATGATCCACTGTGAATTAAACTTAGCACAAAGTTGTGTGCTATAAAGAAATTACCCTTTACAAAACCGGGCAAATTGCTTCAAGGGTTGCCTGAAATGTTGAGACCCAGAAGCACTGCGAAAATGCTCCAACGCATCTGCATCCCGACTGCCCTCCCAGCAGAGCCGCTATCAAAGCCTTGTCGTCTTACCATGACCCATGCGCCACTGCTTCCTACGCAACAGGTGCGAGCGCTACCATTAATTCACAAATTAAATTCTCAGTACAAACATGTTGTACGCCATTACGTAATCCATGTGTATGGCACGACGTTTCTTCCTTTTTGTGAATTCTGTAAAATGTTCATGTTATTTTGGTAAACCCCAAGTGTGCTTCTCATATGCAAGTTACATATTATGCCACTAGGTGGCAGACATAGCATGACCAAAAATGGAGGTACCCTTACACAATGGCATATTAGAAAAGAGGGCTGTGACTCATCATGACCCCTGGTGGTGTAAAATAAAACAGGTCCCTGCAGGGTGGGCTGGTAGGAACATTGGAATTTTGCGCAATTTTATTTTTACACCCCAACAGCACGATATTTCACTTCGTTAAAATATTGAAAGGGGACGGACGGACACATTAATCTATTTCAGGCTGGTACACTCAGTTTACAACTTCGTTCCTACCAGTATTAAGATCATATGGTGGCAAGTGTATGGTGGCAAGGTTTATAACTCTACAGAACATGTGAAAAAGAGCTTTATAGCTCATCGGATTCCTCCAGGAGAAAATAAATATTCCGATTCTGAACTCCTGCAATCAGTCCATGAGAATGTTTGTGATGACATAAAAGTTGATAAACAATGGCCAGTGGCAATCCCAAGACAGCCATATTTTATCTTGCATTGTTAATGTATATAGACTACGAGTTAAAAAAAATATTTTACCCATGTCGTATGTTGAACTTCTTTGGAACCGTACGAAGCCCACCATGCTAATCGGTAAAAACTGCATGGATGGGGGCATGACCCTGGTAGTCATTTATAGTCCAGTCGATCCACTGCTGGAAGGCCTCTCCATGTCATGTGGATAACGGGAATTGTTTTGACTATACTCCACCACATTGAGCGTTGACCACACATCACCAACGTTAGCCGTGGTTGGGAATGAAACTCTGGTCACTGGGTTCAGATTGTGGTGCACTCGCCAATGTGCCACCACTCAATGCTGAAATATATTGACAAGTGTATGAACCATGGAAATCTTTCCAAATGGGTTGCATGGCTACAATCAGGATAAGAGCATACTAATGAACACAGAGTCGTCGGCCAGGTGACCCTTCAACTCCAGCCGACTTTGCTTCTGTTGACGTTGATTTTGGATGAGGGGGAAAGGATTTAAGCAGATACCAGTGGTCACGACGATTAGCACATAACTTAAATAAATAATACATTACAAATTATATTTCTGAAAAGCACGTGACCATTAGATGCCAAAATTATCCTGACTATAAACAGAATTTGCCATTGACATGTGTTCAGCCAGAAAACATGTAAAGGCGGGGTATTTATCCTCCAATTGCTACAAATCCACATTTATCACCATAATGCAGCTTCTTTCTGCGATACGTTTAACTTGTGGACAAAAGAAACAGCGTGTAGCCATGATAAAATACAGCTGTGCAAGGGCACTGTCATCTTTCTTCACATGATGAATGCAATCTACAAAAATATCTGAACCCCCCCCCCCCCCCCAAAGGGTCATACTCCAATCTACGGGATTTTACTTAAATCTGACCTGACATAGATGCCAGAATAATTAAATCTGACCTGACATAGATGCCAGAATAATTAAATCTGACCTGACATAGATGCCAGAATAGTTAAATCTCACCTGACATAGATGCCAGAATAATTAAATGACCTGACAGATGCCAGAATAATTAAATCTGACCTGACATAGATGCAAGAATAATCAAATCTGACCTGACAGATGCCAGAATAATTAAATCTGACCTGACATAGATGCCAGAATAATTAAATCTGACCTGACATAGATGCCAGAATAATTAAATCTGACCCGACATAGATGCCAGAATAATTAAAAGCCCTCTTTATTAAAGCACCCTCATCATTTTGTGCAATTGCAATTTCAGGGGACTTCAATTCTCTAAAAAAACGCAAGTGGATGTTATGCAGCAATGATGTGATTCTATCCAATTTAGTGGCAAGTTGTATAGGTAATCCTTCAGTCACATTGACATCAATGTCAGCTTAAAACACTATCTTTCATAGTACAAAGGCAAGTCTTACCTTCTCGCATTGTTGGTCATCACAATTTCACCTTATTATATATTTAAAGTTGCTTGTGCTTTTGTAATTATATTTAATGTGCAAATCCTGAATTATTGTTGTAAATGATCATTGTTTTAGCCACTTCCGAGCATTTTTGGGGGGGGATTTATGTCAAGTGTCAATGAATGTTGAGAAAATACTCTACTGTACTTCATGCTAGTTTAATTAAAAGAAAGTTATTTACACGTGAAAATCCTGGCCCCACCTATGCAGAGCATAGGCCACATATAACACCATCCAAACCCCTCACCTTGACTCTCACATTCCATTCAGACCCACAGCACAAAACTCGCATATGCATTTGGACGCATACAAAATAAAAAAAACCTGCACACCACAGCCTAACACGGCACTCAAACCAACTAACACCACAACGACCCACACACAAAACCTTGACTTGTACCAAATAAAATAATGTACAACCCTTGTCAAGTCACTGTTGTTGTGGGAGTGATTTGAAAATGCTTCATGATGTTGGTTTGTGCAGCTTCTTGGGGGGGGGGGGGCAGGACCGGTGCAGATATCACTCACCACTGATGTTAGCCATTGCCAGGAATCAAACTCCGGTCGCCGCAATCATGACGCAGTGTGATAACCACTACGCAACCGCTCCTCATGAACGCTAATAGGGTGTTAACCAGAGCTCATTATGTAGACAATGTGCATAGTCATCCTTGTGCAATGTGTTATTAACTGGAAGCACCACATACCATCACTCGCTCAAATCGCATGGGGGAGGTACCAGAGTGCTCAAACCAAAAGTGGACATGCAATTGAAAGACAAAACTATGATCATATTTCCAATATACAGCAAAATAATGCTGACAAAGCTACAAGCGGTCGTGACCAATGAAATCAGGATTCTACAAAAATATTATTTTACAGATGGTTCCAGAAGACCGAAGAGAGCGGATTGTGCTGGGGATTATATGAAGTGACATCATGGTCAAATGAAACGTTGCCAAGTACATATGGAAATCTATTCGCAATGTCAATACTAGACAAGTACTTTCCAAATTTATTGTCGGTGAAAATACCGGTACACACGTGCACTGCCAATGCACCAAGACTCACACATGCTATCTGAACCATAATCCCTACCATGTCTGACACTTAAATCTGGTTGAAACCTTCAAATGTGACCCACAAACCACTGGTTCACAACCCCATCTCATTGTGCTCACACCCCCATTGCCCCCTCTCACCCCCCCAATATTACAAATTTAGATTTTATAGCTTATTTTCCTGTCTCTTAAGTTGTAGGGAATTGTTTAATAGAGACTTATCTGGTTAGTGGAACATCAGTTACACATTACACACCCCTGGCAAAGTCCTGAAAGTTAGAATTTGCATTGAACCAGAACACTGAGACATAATTCTCTACTTTGTTTTAGTAAGAAATGTTAAAAGCGGCCAGCTACGTGTTAAGTCTGGATTCCCCAATTCTTGTATGTGGATACTGTTACTGGTGTAATCTATCAATGTGAAAGCTGCACACAAGCTTCCACGACTGTTAACCACATAACCCAAATAACAAAAAGTTAATCTTTAAAGTGCACCTATATGGGGTGTAAACAACAGTGGTATTTCCGAACTACTTACACAAAGACCATGGAGGTTTGTTATTGGCCGAGTATGGACTGTGTGCCATTAACAAGTGCACAACTGTGTGTATTCAGTGACACCTAGCATTCAAATGTGCAACATGTGGCGGGATTGCTGGCAGTGGGGGAACAAGGAAGACTTCTCCAACATTTGTGAATTTCAACAAAATTTCTGCACCTTGAAAGGTGGAGCCCAGGACTGTGACCAGCTCAAAGGATTAAAGTGCCCATTATGATCATATATAAGCATCACCAAAGCAGGCGCTCGCTGTATGCACATACTTAATGGAATGTCACATGGCGTGGGTAATGCAATTCTGGGGAGCGGTGAGCGTGCTGCACTACGAACCTGGTGGCCCGGGTTCAATTCCCGCACATGGTGAACTGGTCCTGGGCATTTCCTAGGTCGACTAGGCCTTAAATGAGTACCAGGTGTCATGTAAACATCACTAGGGAGAGAAAGGCGGCCAGGCGTGGTGCTGGCGACACACCCCCTCGTGTGCTGTGCCGGCCTTCATAGGTGATCGCGAATAGCACTTGCTCCTAGTCTGTTAAAGGCTATACGCGGGGTCTGTTTTTGTTTGTAACACAATGCCCGGCCATTGTGTTTCCATTCACATAACTCAATGACGTTGTGTACAGTTGTGTGGATAAATGCGTTGATCCGATAATAATAAACTCGGTTTTCGAAAGTTCCTTTCAGCTGAGCATGACAATGAAATCAAGATTATAAACGATAATTCAGGCTTCTGGGACTCGGAAATGAAGTCAGTTCCACATACCTCCTGTGAAAGTTCCGTATTCAGTACAGTGGAATTATCTAACTATGGAACGTTAGCTATGTCACGTACCTAGTAACTTATAACATTAGGTATCTTGATTGAAAAAATTGATAAAATATGTACCATCATAATTTAAAACAATCAATTTCAGAAGGCTGAAGAGCAAAGCTCACGAAAAATGTAGTGGCGCAAAAATAACAAATTCCACATGGCATCTCCATTCTTAAATCTTGCCAGTCTATTTGGAATCTTACATTTCATCAACATATTGCCCTTACTGCTCAGATAAGCAACTATGGTGGGTGTTTTTTCCGAGGTTGTTGCTGTGTGCACTTGCCGTCCAAGGCTTGCAGTATTGTGCACACAAACAATGTCGTCTTTGCTACAGCAAGTGTCACACTCACTTCAAGGTGTCGAGGCTGGTCCACTTCAGCAAAGTTAAATGGAGATTTGACTTAAAGTTGATGTTGCATCAGTGAACACGTCAATGCCCCCGATATTAGTTGTGTTAAAAAATATTGTACACAAAATGTCACACGTACACAACATCCATTCATGAACTGCCAAGAACCTTTGCTGTCAGAGCTGCTCATCCTTCCACCTCAACGTTGTAATGTTCGACTCATAGCAGTCAGATGTTTGTTTTTCTTCAAAAGAGTAAACATGCACATCAAGCAAGCTGCCTGTTGAGAACCTTTGGATTCCAGAACTGATACAGGTTGTCTGCAGGGCTGCATTACATTTGATAAAAGCTGCTGATTACTTACATTACCTTCAACAAAGCAACTTAGAGCCAAGTCCATTCGAGTGTGAATGCATTTGCAGGCTCCAGTGCAACTTGCTGTGTCAAGTGAACTGAAATATGTAACGCCAATACGGCAACAATGGCATTACAATTGAAAAGGATATATTTTGCCTTCATGAGTTTGCACTGTAAAAGTTTATTCTGATGCGATGCTGGAACACTACATTCTGCTAAAACCCTGCAAGGTGATTATGCTAAATATGCATTATCTTCTTATTTGGGTTTAATACCAGTTTATTTTTGGATTTGGATGTGCAAAAATGTAAAACTGATTTATCATTCCAATGGATATGTACTGTTTATCAAAGTAGACGTGTGTTCATATGAAGATGCATATCTATATTAGCTTCATAACCAAAGTAAAATCTGACAGATGAATAGTTGAACTGGAACTTTTGTTTGGCAAACCCTAATTCTTACTTAGTAAAACAAACATGAAAATGTGTTTGGATATCATAACGGTTTGCCCTTTATTGTACTCTTCATGTCTTATTGCTTTGCCATGTTCTTTATTCGCAGAATGTGCTGTCTGCACCTTTATTACGTTTGGAAATATTTTATTTTGCTGGGCAAATCCATGTGTACAAAAAGGTAATGAAAATATAAAATAACCTTCTACTTGGAGACGTGGATACTCAAATAGATTAGACTGCATGAGCATGTACAAAACCAAACCGCAGAGTTCAGCTGGCACAAACACTGCAAAAACGGTCATAATAGTGCGACAACAACAATAATAATAGTTATAATAATCGGATAAAAATCTTTCACGGCGCCTTCCACAGCAATGCACTCTAGGGCACGCTGGCCGGCACCAGTCCCGCGAACAACGCAGGCAGTGCCGCGTCAACATTGCACAATAGCGCAGCGGTGCGGCATTCGAATACAGACGAGCGGCAGTTACACTGGCAAGACAGAGACAGAGCGCGCACGGTTTACTAGTGACGTCAAGCGGCCTCCTCCTTTGCCAGGGCGTGGCGCTGCCGTGAGGGGGAGAAGCTTTCCTGCACCTGGCTTCGCGGATGGGCTCCTTGTGCGCCTGGAACATCTTCACGTTGTTCATGTTCGACTGCCAGTACTTGACAAATCCACCATGGTCGGCCGTCAGCATCCACATGTCATTGTGCGACCACGTCATCGCGCGGACTGAGCTGTCATGGGCCTGGCCAGGGTGCACAGAGTAAGCACAAGTCAGCACAAAATGATAATTCATCAATTAATCTATGAAAATTACAACTAATGCCCGCAATGTATGCATCGAGCTGTGTGTGAGAATCTATTATTTTTTCATTTATCTTATAGTGCGTCATTTGTTCATGTGGAATTCAGGCGCTACACGTAAATGGCACTTTAGAAGGAGAAAGCTACAGAGTTCTTAATGACGTTTGAATTTCAGTCAAGTATAACACATCTGATCAATATTGAAGAGGAATATATTGTATTGACAATCTATAAACAAACCTAACCACTGATTTGACTTGCAACAATGGCTGTGACAAAGCTTATGAAAGCATCACAATTAGAAATGTTGTATGAGACTGTTCTTAATGACGTTTGATATACCGTTATCATGACAAATACGGTCCTCACTCACTTGTAGAATTGTCTCGAAGTTGAAAGCAAGACCGTTCCACAGTGTAAACTCCCCACTGGAGGCTCCAGTTACAAGACGTCGACCTTCAGGTGTCCACTACACACAACCATAGGCAACATCCATTCCTTTTCATAGGGACAACTACAACATGAGGGGTGTATAAAACATAAGCGCAAGCAGACTCCAGTATTCCTTGCAGAGTAACACATTTAAAGCATTTCACAGAAAAAGTGATTAACAGACTTCAATAACTTTGGCCTGACCAGTACGTTAATACAGTTTGAAGAAAATTGGTTCTCAAAACTAGATGTAAATCCACCTGGGACAAAAATCTATACTTGTTATCGACATAAATTCATGTCTTACACCAGTCACATGGCTCAAGTTGTAGTGGTAACATTCACATTGGCAATAAGTTAAAATGGGATATCACATGACCAATCGCTATAGCTTTTTTGCATTGATGTCAAGTATTTAAAGAACGAGTAACTATTTAAAACGTTTTCTTGCTTTCTGATGTTTCAATGGAATTTTGATAACACACAACTATATTTTGAATTACTGTACTCACCCTTACGACAAAGACAGGACATTTCACTTTGTTTGTAGATGTCCTGACAAACTTGGTGGTTACTGCATTTATGGGTTTGTGCATCATTCCCATTGGCGGTAGTAACTGTTGAGAACAGACATTTACATACATATATACACACAGTTGTCACTGGCAAAGGGAAATGTTATAGTGATAAACACTCCATTTAGTTTATATGGGATTTTAATGTGTATACAATTTTTGCACGGAATAATGGTAAACAGGAGTGGGTTTGCTACAAGTTTAGATTACAATTAAGATTAAGTGTGAAGACTTAATAAATGTGATTAAGGGGAGCGAGCCGATGTTCAGTGGGAGTGTAGTGTGATTGCATGCGCATCTACACGATAGGTCTTCGGGTTGTGGCAAGAGGTTTATAGTTTGATTGAAAACCATGTAATGTGGGTATGGGTCACATTTCCCCACAAATTAATACAATAATTGTGCAATGTCGATGTTTTAAAAGAGAGCATGTATATGAACAAGGAGACATCATAAAGCACAAGGATAATCTCTGAACAAGTGCGAATGTGCTCAGAACAGAGGCTACCAGTGTGTTAAACAATTCCTCTCCTAAACTATTTCTTCAATTTTGCCAGGAAAGCATAGTTGTCAATCTACAAAAACGGAGCACTTACATCACCATAGTAGGACGGGTCGGGCTGAATGGCACGGAGATCTCTGTGGTCTCTCTGCCATACTCGGTTCTGGAACGCAAACCACGCAAAACACGATAGATATATTCTAATGTAAATTTTGCAAAACAATGTGGTCTATTATACGGATGATAGCTTCATTAATATTAGGCTATGTGTTATCTGCCGATTATCTTGATAACTTCTCCCGAGACCATTGTTGATGGTTATATTTCAAACAATTGCTATTTTAAATTGCTCAAAATCACAATGATAATTGCACGTACATTTAGAAATATTTCAATCGCAATTTTTCATTCAACTTTCAGTGTAAGGCATACTAATGAATTAATAATAGTGCAAACCAATATCACAGTACGTTAAAACATTACAAAGGTGGCTCAATTCAGCCCTAATGAGCTACACCGCATTACTGTTAAAGGAAATACAAATTACAGCATTGTATTTATTTTCACTCTTGCAATTACTGAGACATTGGATGTTCCCACGGTTGCCAGAAACTGACCTCCAGGTATTTGACTACGGAAGGGTTGTAGTCGATGGTTTTACGGTTAACAGATTTCCGCATGCGCTTCCCATCGAAGGTGACTTGCTGCATGCCATCCATTTGGCCAAAGTCGGAGCGCTTGTAGAAGACATGTTTGGGGCCCTGGTGTTGAAACTTTGGCATGTGAAAGAACCTTGGCGGGGATGTCATGTCCATCGCCAGCGTGCGACTGGTGTGGTTCTCAGGGACCACACGAAGACCTGGAAGGGGTACACATTTTTTTTACAACTGATTCATCCATTGATTGTGCAATCAAATGACATTTTTTGCTTAAATCCACAATGAACGTTAATTATGCAATTCCCATATATTTTTGTATGTTTTATTTTTATTATTTCCCTTCTACGTGACTTTACCGAAAGAACCAAGAATATGAATTCCCATATACTTAATTCATAACAGGTAGCATGTAGTTGGTAAATCCTATTCTTGAGTATGGTAATATGTTCAGGAACTAAATGGCAATGTCAAGATCTAATACCCACGAGAGGACTTCATGAGTGTTTGTGTAGTTTTGCTATTCCACCGTTGAAGGAGTGCAGACTACAGTGGTTTACTACATGGTCCAAAGTTTGGATTGTATGGCCACACACTGTTGCCTGCCTTTAATTTTCCATTCATGATGTGCAAATGGGCATGTTGATGTTCCGATGCATGTTACACACCATTTTCTACGAGTAATGTCAATGTCAGGAGGTGAGATGTTTGTGTCTCGAATGAGGTAAAAGGGTTATTGCTTGGAAGCCATTTGGTCAAATTAATAATTAACAATACAATTTAGGTTTATACAGCATATTAAGACAACCTGGATATGGTTGGATGCAGGGCATGTCCGTGCCATTCCGGTACAACTTGTATAGGAGGTGGTGAATGAGGCACGCAGGCATAGACTTTTGGTATGTACTTTGCAAAGTCAAAGTTATTTCTTGTTCAAATGAGCATTGAGGTTAGTGCTGATACACCCTGTTTAGAGCTCTAAGCCAGTGGTGGATATTCCTCATTCCATTGGCGCGAATTCCATTGGCGCGAATCAATTCATAGATGATTTTTCGCACAGGAGAAACTTTGAATTACGTGAAGAATGTCAGCACCACGTTGTGACAACAAAATGCACTAATACACAGCATGAAACAAATCCCTTACTAACGCCACGTAGACTAACGGCATGGACATGTGATCTCCCAGTATTGTGGCCTTGATAACATTATTTCTAATTCGGAGGAAACATGTTTTTATTACACACATGCTCCTCTCAAGATAGGGAGTTAACCAAAATGTTATCTTACATGCGTCACAGTTTATTATAGGTGGTCATTTTCCATCCTGTATCTCTTACACATTAGCCAACACTATCTTGAAAAGCAAATTGAAGACAGAAAATGTGCAGAGCACACTCTGAATTGCAAGGGAAGATTGGCTCGGGTAAAAACTAAACCTAGATATCACAATTTTAAAAAACAAAGTAGGCTTCATAATCATCTTTGACTGGAGTAATCCGTTGAGCTATGAAGCTCTTTTTCACAGATGTCCAGTCGGGGCAGGTTAGCAATTTACAAGTGTTTGGACAGGACACCAATGTTTGGGATGGTGGCCGACGGATAAAACTTGATAATTGGCCTGCGACAGAACAAGAGGCCAAAAAATAACACTTCGAGGCACGAAATCAGTTAATGTGCAGAAATTAGATGGACATCGCAATGTTTGTGATAAATGACAATGGTGTTTGAAAGTCTTTCATTCAGCAGTGGATAGACCACGGCTCATGACGGTTACGCGTGTGTGTTGGTACCTAGCAAGATCCCCCCCCCCTCCTCTGATGTGGTGTTTCATACCAGTATACATCCAATTGATTTGACTTGTCATACACTACAGTATATGGAAATAGATAACGCCGTTGCAGCACCAACGTTTTAGAACCTCGTTTCCTCCCTTTAACATCGTAAATCTTCCTTCAAAAACATATCCCGTAGCAGAAGATTAGTGCGGGATACAGACATTTGCACATGTGATTTGTAAGTTTGATCATTACCCGTGTATCGATAGTTCAATGTTAATGTGACGGCCAAAGCCGTGTTATTTTGGTGTCGATCTGGGACTGTTTTGCTGTTTTTTTGCTGCCTTGCCCCACGTTGACAAATCGGACTTATATAATTGAGTTATTTATACTTCATGACCTGCTTAACCATTTTCTCTATTTTGCTCTCCTACCGTTGTTTTTCTGTATTGTTTGCTGGTGTGACTTGCCGACCCGCCCATACTGGACATGTGAAAAAGGAGCTTCCTAGCTCATAGGATTCCTACTGCAGTCTAAATAAAGATTCTGAAGTGATTATTGGGATGCTTTGATGATTGATTGGATGCTTGATTGGATGATTTTAGACGAGCGCACGACGAATGCTGGCGATCACGGCGATGCGATGACTAAAGACCATCAAGTACTGTATTCGTCAATTTAAGATCGCACGTTTAATGCTGGCGATGTTCGATGTAATGCAGAACACGCCAGTACGATTACGAATCACGACTAAAACATGCCGATGAACCGTTGATCAATCCCGTTTAATAACCCCAAGATATACGAAGTGATCAAATACAACAGCAAAGGAGGAAAACAACTAGGATGATGAGGCCTACCTAAGGCTCGGCCGACATCCTCAAAAAAAAAGGAAACCATTCAACACCACAGCTGCAATTAAAAAAATAAGACTTTCCACACACCGACATCGACTTACACTTCGCATTCCACCGGCGCGTGCTAATTCTAACGATTAAACGACCATAACGACGCGCATCTTTGTAAATGTGTGTGTGTGTTTTAAAGGTAAACGTTTTGGTTGGTGCCGAGGCAACAATGGCGACCTCGCGGCCTCTACGACGAAAACCTCGCGGCGACAACCCTCGCAAAGCGCTCGGGTCGAGAAAATAAAAATAAACAACCACCACAATAATCATAATAATAATCTCGCGGAGACGCTGCTGCTGCTGCTGCTGCTACGAAATACTCACACGCGACAACGTAAATCTTCGCCTAAAGCTCTGGGCAGTCGGTGATTGCTAAAGAGACGAAGAGGACGACGACGACGACGCGAGGCGGCATCGCTCTGAGGGCTCCCCCAGCGGTTGTCGACTTGCAACTGCGGTGAGGAGGCCGGTGGGGTGGGTGGGTGGTGTTGGTGGGTGTGGTGGGGGTGGTGTTGGGGGTGGTGTTGGGGGGGTGGTGTTGGTGGGTGGGGGGGTGGTGTTGGGGGGTGGTGTTGGGGGGGTGGGGGGTGGTGTTGGTGGTGTGGGAGTGGTGGGTGAGGGGAGTGGTGTTGGTGGGTGGTGGGTGGGTGTGGTAGGTGAGGGGGGTGGTGGGTGTGGTGTTGGTGGGGGTGGGTGTGGTGGGGTGGGTGTGGTGTTGGTGGGTGGTGGTGGTGTTGGTGGGTGGGGGGTGGTGTTGGTGGGTGGGGGGTGGTGTTGGGGGGGTGGTGGGTGTGGTGTTGGTGGGGGTGGTGTTGGTGGGTGGGGGTGGTGTTGGTGGGTGGGGGGTGATGTTGGGGGGGTGGTGGGTGTGGTGTTGGTGGGTGGGGGTGGTGGGGTGGGTGGGGGTGGTGTTGGTGGTGGGGGTGGTGTTGGTGGGTGGGGGTAGTGGGGTGTTGGTGGGTGGGGGTGGTGTTGGGGGGTGGTGTTGGTGGAGGGGTGGAGTCGATTCCACCGCGGCCTCAACGTTGCAAAGTCCGTCGTTCCGGCACCACCACCACCACCGCCGCCTTCGTTTCCCGCGGTGGTTTCACCACGAGGAAGCACGCAGATAAACGCAAAAAAGAAACCCACCGTCGACGTCCTTACCTGCAAGGGGTGGGGGTGGGAGGAGGTGTTTTGCGCTCGAACGACGCAACGGGAATAAGCAAGGCGCTCGATCCTTGACGCTTTGTTGTCGTGAGCGTTGTGAAGAATTCGCGACTCGCTACAGTCGATCTCGCCTGCTGGCCCTCTTTTTTTTAAACTTGGTGAGCCACAACAAGCCTTGCGACGTGACGTCAAGTCCGGTCTATCGTTATTTATTTAAGTAAATTAAGCGTACTAACACTTTATTTTTTTCATTAAAAAAGCCCTACAATACCGTCGTTTTAACACCGACGTAGTTTTTTTATTGTTGAAAATGTGCAGTACACACCTACGGGGGTAATATCTCTCTCTCCCCATGGGTCGTGACGATGATGAACAGCAACTGTACCGGACGTTGTATGTTATCGAATGTCACCGTCACCAAGACTGCTCTCTACACTGCTGGATGAAGGGCCTCCCCCTCAAACCTCCCTTTCGGCGGACAGTCCTCTCTGGGTCGTGTCCACACACTCGCTTTTGGGCCGTCACCACCATCGCTAAATCTCGTCCACCACCACACCAGGGACCATCACTCCTCCTACAGTACTCGCTCAACTGTGCTCGATTTTATCTCGATTCAATAAGGGCATTATCTCCAACGTGCGTTATAGTGTCTAATCCACGCGTACTTACGCCTCGATTGCCTGCCGCTTATTGTGACATCGCAATAGGGCCCTGGTGGAGGGATGATGACAATTGGCGTGGCGGAGGCGTTCATCTAGCAGTGGATGTGGCTGATGATGGAAGTGTGAGCTGCTTGTATTTGTGGCACAAAAAAGGGCTTTTGGTCTCTCAAATCCATTGAGTTTTAGAATACTCTACGTGTACACGAAATTGTGAAGCAAAATAACACATTCCCACAACCCTAATCTGTTTTCAGGGAACATGATTTTCTCTTCCGTATTGGGAAGAACCCTGGAACTTACAATGCTCTGGAAGTTATATTCCAGAAGACTTCTACCGGAAGAATGTTTTGTTGTTGAACGTGCTGAACCCGCATCTGCTAGACACCAGTTAATGGCTCTTCGGATTCCTCCCGGAAAAATGTTCTGATAATTTCATTCAATTATACAGGTTGGTCAAGATGTCTTGTGACATTCGATTGACCCCTAGCATGGTTGTCATTTTGCATGCTCATCTGTTTTAAATAAACCTTAAAACATTTCGTTTTAGAGCATTAAAGGGGGGTCACAAATGACATCGTTTAGGTTATTTTGCTGCTTTAAATTTCCACAAGCCACATTCTTGAGCTATCATTCGTGGCCAGGTCGCTTCTGAAAAATAAACTAATGGCTCAGTGGGACTTACCTAGTAAAATAAAGTTTCGTATTTGTATATACAGTAATTTTTCAAAGTGATTTGTTAACCTTGCCTATAATTTGCGCTCCTATCGTGTTTTTGTTTTGTGGTAACGGTCTGACACGCCCCGAACTGGAGAACTGTGAAAAAGAGCTTCATAGCTCATCGGATTCCTCCAGGATAAATACATATCCTTATTCAATTATAGTGGTCCAGATGTCCTGTGACCTCCAACTAATTAACCCCGAACATGTTTTTTCCTTTGCATATTATCATTTCAGTTGTAAACAACCCTTAAAATATATGTTTATGTAATTCAATGGGGAGGGAGGGGGGCGTCACAAGACATCTGGACCACCCTGTACACTGCTCTGATATTTCCACATAAGCCACTTCGTTGAGCTATCATGTGGCCAGGCCGCTTCTCAACTTTCTGACCTGCCCCTAACTGGTCATCTGTAAAACAAAGAGCTTTATAGCTAATCGGACTGTGTAAATGTGTCGTCAAACCTGCCACACCCGACAGAGCAAATTAGTAAGGTTTATTAGGTAAACAGAGCATGCCAATTCGTTACACGTTCAACACACTGGTGTGTTGGAGAGTAAATCCACATTTACAATTGGAGTACGACGTTTCGACAGTTATTACAACCACCACCAAAGACAAAGATCCCCCGTATAGCCTTAACATACTATTGGGGCAAGTGCTGTAAGCGAGCGCCTATTAGGGCCGGAACGGTACGCGAGGGGGGGGGGGCAACACCACGCCCGACCGCCTTTGTCTCCCCAGTGGCGATGTTTACACACCGCACCGGGTACTCATTAATTTATTTTATTAGGTATGAGTCGACCTCAGATCATAATCGTCACCGGTGGTGGTGGCCGTCAGCGGCAATCGAACCCGGATGGCCGGGTTCGTAGCGCAGAGTCGCGCTGTCCGCTACGTCGCTACCACCACTTCCTGAAGACTGAAAACGAACGACGCCCCCCCCCCATCACCCACTACCACCGCCCACCACCACCACCAACCCTACCACCACTACCACCCCCCACCACCACTTCTGGGAGACTTAAAACGAACGGCGCCCCCCATCACCCACTACCACCGCCCACCACCAACCCTACCACCACTACCACCCCCCACCACCACTTCTGAGAGACTGAAAATGAACGGCACCCCACCACTACCACCCCCCACAACCACCAACCCCCACAACCACCACTTCCGAAAGACTGAAAACGAACGGCGCCCCCCCACAATCACTTCCGGAAGCATGAACACGAACGGCGCCCCCCCCCCACAATCACTTCCGGAAGCATGAAAACGAACCGCGCCATTCCACCACCCACCCACGAATCATTACCACTACTTCCGGAAGACTGTAAACGAACGGCGCCCCCCACTACCACCACTTCCGGAAGTCTAAAAACGAACGACTCCCAACCCCCCACAGCCACTTCCGGAAGATTGCGCAACCCCCCCCCACACAGCCACTTCCGGAAGATTGCGCAACCCCCCCCCTCCACACCCCCTTCCGGAAGTCTAAAAACGAACGCCCCTCCCTCCACAACCACTTCCGGAAGATTGCGCAACCCTACTCTTTGGTCCTATTGGGTAAAGTCATGTTATTTTTTTGTTTGTTATTTTATTATCACCTACGTGACTTTACCCCAATAGAACCAAAGAGTATGGATCCTAGCAGTCACGTAAGCTTTAAATCTAGAATTGCGCAACCCCCGCCCCCCCCCTACACCCCCGCTCGGTGACGTCACGCGCGTTCGCCATCTTAGCGTCTTTGTTGAGAGCGAGCAGCAGGCAAGGCGCAGGAGGACAGCGAAGCGGAGGCGCAGGGCAGAAGGAAGAAGAATAAGAAGAAGAAGCAACAACAGCAGCAGCGGCGACTACGACTGCTATTGTTTCTTCCCCCCTCCCTCTCTCCCCCCTTTATAAGAAATCATTTTTTTATATATATACTCCTCGCTTCCACACCGCCTTAACAAACAAAAAAGAAGACCGCGTCAAATATAGCCATGCCTCCGTCGTCGATGAAAATCGCCGTCGTGTGCTCTAGTAACCAGAATAGGAGTATGGAGGCTCATAGTGTGTTGAGGTAATGGCCAATGCTTGCGATGGTGGGGTTGGTGGGGGTGGTTCACGTTCTTAAAACAAAACAAATTGTTAACCTATAACCGCGAAGGAAAATTAAGTGTGATGTTCTAGACGCGTGTGGGTTTTAAAAAACAAAAAAAAATATGTATCGAGTTGTTCCGGGCTGTCGTGTACGAAGTTTTGTGACGTTTGAATAATAGTGTACCGCGTAAAAGTCAACGGGGCACGCTTTCCTCTGGCGCAGAATTTTGTTTTTTTTCTCTCTCTCCCCTACCTCCCTCTAATGGCTGTTGCTGTAACGTGTCCTCTTGTGGGCGAGCTTACAGTCTGGTAGCTGGTGAAGCTTCAAGCCCGTGTTCGACAGCCCGATGAACACGGCGATGTGTGCTTTCTGTAACGATTTGAGACGTGTGGTTGCTTTCTTGATCTTAAATATTCAACGAATTCCACACTCATCGTTTTAACAATATATATGCTTTCGATTTAAAGCTTTCGTGACTGCAAGGATTCATCTTCTTTGGTTCTTTCGGTAAAGTCACGTAGAATGAGAATAAAATAATAAATTGATAAAATAAAATAACACAATATTCTCACGACGTTTCGGCCACAACACAAGCGGCCTTCATCAGGTGAAGGGACGAGACTGTCTGGTAGGACAGCGCTGTTGTGGCCGAAACGTCGTGAGAATATTATTGTGTTATTTTATTTTATCAATTTATTATTTTATTCTCATTCTACGTGACTTTACCGAAAGAACCAAAGAAGAAAATAGATATGCTGTATATATTTAGTAGAGAATGCACCGGTCAAGACTGTGTTCTCGCCATGTCAAACGTGAGTTTGAACATAACGTTTTGAGAGGGGGGGAGAAAAAACATACTTGTAGCCAAGTGTTTAATGAATCGTACGTTTAGTCAAATGTTAAATCGGAGGCTGGGTTTGGTGAGTCCCCGGAATGAATGTACGTAACAGTTTTAAATAATGGCGTGGATTTTTCTTCTAAATGCTGTAGTGGTGGCCTGTGAGTTTGTAATTGTGTGCTAAAGGGTAACGTTAAAGGGTATAAAGTAGCGTATGTATTATTGAGGGGCCCCTTAACACGAAACCCATCGGCGAGATTGTTAACTACACTGCTAAGCTTTGGTGGAAAACGCCCTCGAATTGCTGTTGCATTGCAAGGGCTTTCCCACCACCAGTTGATATAACTGCGAATTTACAGCGGTGAGCTGATTGAGTTGGATTCTACGTTTATATTTAAAGAAAGCGTAACTATAAAACCACCGTAACCATTAGTTAACATTCACACTTCGAAATCGCTTTCACTGATAACTAACCGTAAACGCCACCATTACCATCTACTGCCCATGTCCGACGAAAATCCAAATCATCATTATAACCACTGATGTAATTATCGCCATCATTTGCCACACTATCCCTTCCGGGCCTCGAAGGTAAGTAAACCAGTGCCTGCCCGGTTTGGTAGACTACATACAATGTCTGGGAGCATCTGCGGCTTTTAATGACTGTAAATCAATCGCAATGCAGGTGTAATTAAACACGATCTAAGTAACGGTTTGTTTCAAGCAGTGTTAGGAAAGCGGATAGAAAGTGTACAATTCTGCAAAGTCGTACAATTGCACTACAATTCGGTATCCTATAAGTGGCTAAATGCGACCGCATCTCAAGACACCGTACATAGGAATGTTCATGTTAGGTACCCGGGCCAGAGGAAGTGTGGAGCATCTTAAGCCTGGACCTGAATCAGGAGCCAGTAGCCAAAGGCACGATTCGGAGGGGTAGTTTCGGCGTTCACTGGCGTAATGACATGGCCTATAAATTTATGAAAAAGATTGGCATTGAGCGTAATGCATATTAGCGAGTTTCGGATGAAGGCGAGTGGCGAGTAGTTTTAAATATCTGGTGAGTGGTGAGTATACATTGTGAGTTGCGAGTAGTTTAAATGTCTGGAGAGTAAGGCGAGTTCAGAGCAGTTTTAAACTGCTCATTGCTCCTGTACTCGTAGTTATTGGGTAACCAGTGAATCACTGGATAGCATTACTGTAAGTATAGTTGCCCGTTAAGTGCATAATACTCATTCGTAAACCATGCCACGATAAAGCAGTGTAAATTGTAAAATACTGTAACAACTCGAGGTGACCACAAACTTTTGGGCGGAACCAGACTCAATTTCCAGTAATGTCCTAAGCAGCATCTCGTAAACAGTACATTGAAAAGTTTCTCTGTCGTTAATAAGGGATGATTTTTACATAGTTGCAAATTCGATTCTGCTTTGGGAGACCAACAAGCTTCGTCCAGTTTAAGCATAATGCAAGTCCCTTGAGGTGACCTGTTGTTGAATTGGGAACATTTCCTCCCAAATCAAGATCATTTGATCTTCGGATTTTGAATATTAATCTTAGGCTGGTTACCAAATACTGTATTACCTCTGTGCACCACCATATGCAAATGCTCATCAATGCCTATGCACAGAATAAGTGGGAACACTTCCAACTGCGTTCCATCGACCCTATTCATTGGTGTGGTTTGGCAACGCCACGTCTCAATTTTGGAAGTATTTTAAGATACTAAGCTGCGTAGTTTAGACAGGGTATGGCGCGTGGTCTGGACGCTTGTCTGTCATGCCCTTTTACGCTCGCATTTCCTAGTTTATAAACCGGTTATTTGACCAATTTTTAGTAAGGAGTAATACAATTATAAGTACAATCGTCTATATAGTACAAAGTAAACCTAATACGTTTTACAACTGTTCACCTATAGAACAATTAATGCCCATATGCTGATTACAGTATTTTTGTGGTGAAAGGAACCATTTAATTAAACAATTAATAAACTACGATTACGTTTTTAGTAATGGGACTGCAAACCTTTGGTGCATGGTATTGCAACCACATTCCATAAAAGCGTTTGTGATTTGAGAGTTTTATTTTGAATTGTGTAAGCAGGCCAATGTGTCATCTTATTTTAACCAACTTAATCCTATAAACTTGAACTGACCTGTTTGTGCTTTATAAAGTTTGATAATTATGGGTGCTATTTCACATCAAGCGGTTGGATTAGAAATTAACTTGCATCAGAACTTGTAATTTAGCATTTTGTCTGCATTTTAAACATGTATTCCTGAAGGTATCTTTACCAAACTATTAAACTAGAGACTCCAGATAACCATACAAAAACAGTTCTCTACCTGGCTGCACGCCAAATAAAAAATAACACTACCACTTTTTACATTCCAAAATAACTAGGTGTAGATTTTTTTAGGTTAATTTGGAACATTTTTTAGGTTAATTTGGAACAATGTTGAGCGTTATTCTATTTATAAAGAAATGGGCGTGAAGTGTGTTACTTTAATTCAATGTCCTGTAAAGAATAGCCTTGAAGGGAATAAAAATTACAACATTTGTCCTGAAGGGAAGCCAATGTAACTTGTCTTTCAACACATGCCTAGCCAGGCACGTGATCACAAGGGTTTTAAGTTTCAAACGTCATTGGGCATGGCAGCGCTTGTAAAGACCTTTGAGATGACGCAATTTTTAGAACCTCCTAAAGCGTCACACCCACGTTGCCTGTTTTAACGTTCAGACTTGTTTGCTACGTCAAAAATAAAGTCTAAGACACGATAGAGAATTATGGACTGTTCAGTTGTGGACATTTGGTAAATTACCTTACTATATATTTCACAATCGTAAAAAATATTCTGCACACGGGAAGTAGCAACTCCCCATTAGATGAATCGGCAAGTATGCAGTCATTTTCACATTGCTAATATGATCCTGTAATTGGAAGCTTGCAATTTTTGTCATCTAATTCATAAAAAAAGTAAACTCTTTCATACTAAAGCAGTTCACTTCCAGATAACTTGTGGTTTTATGGTTGTTGCCCTCAGTTAATTGGAGTCGGTCATGTTTAGATTTGGTAACTTTCAGAACCTTGCATTGGAATAGATATAAACATCAAATTCACTGCTAACAATAATCAGCATTAGAATTTTTTTACGAATTCACCCTTAGTCTATTGATGAAGTCCATTTGTACGTTCGTAATGACAATGCGTCGGTGACGTTTTGACTTGTCAATGTGAAGAATACACACCAGCGTGGACACGGTACTTTATTGCTAATGGCCCCGCGCATGTAAGACGTTAATCTTGCGCCACCTACTGGCAGGAGTGCAACGGTGCGAACTTGAAGTGGCACGATGACCTCAATGTTCACGATGTACGTTCTCAAGCCGTTCGTGTATGCGCAAGAAAATGTGACGTTACGGGTCAGATATGGACGGGCAGGCTGATGCCCTGTAACTTTTATTTAAATAGTATATTTAAGAAAGTTGATTTTTTTTCTAGGGGTTATTCAATCTTGGCTAATGGAATGTGAGATAAATTTGTTTACTTTTCGATTTAAAGCTTTCGTGACTGCAATGATTCATCTTCTTTGGTTCTTTCGGTAAAGTCACGTAGAATGAGAATAAAATAATAAATTGATAAAATAAAATAACACAATAATATTCTCACGACGTTTCGGCCACAACACAAGCGGCCTTCATCAGGTGAAGGGGGCGAGACTGGTAGGACAGCGCTGGAGTGAGAGAGCCACGTTCAGATCACGGCTATCCGTGTTGCGGAAATTTGAGGCTTAAAAGCCGTGATCTGAACGTGGCTCTCTCACTCCAGCGCTGTCCTACCAGACAGTCTCGCCCCCTTCACCTGATGAAGGCCGCTTGTGTTGTGGCCGAAACGTCGTGAGAATATTGTGTTATTTTATTTTATCAATTTATTATTTTATTCTCATTCTACGTGACTTTACCGAAAGAACCAAAGAAGAAAAAATTTGTTTACATTCCACAAACACTGCTGGTGAGAAGGTAATTTCCTCAGCGTGGAATTACTAAAATTTACTTGCATGGATCATTTGCCTGGGAAGATGGATACTTTTTATAATTTCCTCAATTTTAAAAACAGGAAAACAGTAATAGATTATTATCCCAAATAATAGGGACTTTCAACATTAAACTAAATTTCACCACTAAGCACAAGTCTGTATTGATATATACACATTACATGTACTGATTGGTGCTTTTATTGTTGTTCATCCCCCCCCACCCCCTTGTGCCACTACAGTAAGAAAGGTTTCTATGTGCGTTCGTTCGGGACGGGGACGCACGTGAAACTGCCTGGGCCCGCTCCGGACAAGCCCAATGTGTACGACTTTAAAACGACCTACGAGCAAATGTACAGCGACCTGGTGATGAAGGACAAAGAACTGTATCCCGTCCCTGCTCACCGGCCCACAGGACCAATGTCCCCCCAACAAAACCACTGCCCTGAGTGTGCATTTACTTTCTCTTTAATTGTTAACCGTGCTTATATGTGTGTGTTTTTATGTACTTTACCACCTGTGGGTGCATTTGTTTTTAGATTTGTGGCAGTTTGCACAAAGGTAAGATGCCCGGTTTTATTTTTGGTTTTTACTTTGAAATAATGCCCTCTATCCTTTATTACCTCAGTCGGTCAATAAAAGTGAACTTTTGAAAAAACAATTTTTTGCTTTTATGTAGCTTAGTATTGCAAAAGCCAGGGAGTTGGTAACAGCAAAGGAGATCACGTGGAGGCTTGACATGGGTTTTTAGATGGGGGGGGGGGGGGGGTTGGGTGGTGATAGGATTACATTAGGGTATGGTCGATTTCCTATTTACATAAACCCACAATGGCCCACGGAGGCCATTACAATTTTGGGCAGCATGTAGACTACTAACATGTTAACGACAGCATTCGTCGTAGTGATATGTATAGCTTAGGATTTTTAATATTTGAAATATGTTATAGAGGGTTGAAGGTTAATTTTACCACCCTTGAAATTTCATGGTGCTAATTTTGAATGTAGACAGAACGTGAACACAGGATGAAGCAGCAGTCTAGGAATTTTATGGGGTCCTGATAGTTTCTCAGATGAGGCAGTTTCCCCTTAAAATTTTCCACCGAGTTGTTTGAAAATAGAATTACAAGCACTTGCATTTCAGCGGCAACCTACAGGCCTGGTGGCTGATGCACGTCTGAAGATTGATTCAGACTCCAGAGCAGCGAATGAAGAAGAACCCTTCAAAGTAAGTTTTACTGTCCCTGGAAAGCTCCCTTCGGGGTGGAGACACTTTCACTGAGATGCCTATCAACATGTACAACTAAGTTCACATCATCTGGTAGACTGCCGTAGGTACTGGCACTTCTGTATTTAACTATTAAAGCTTAAACATTGTAGCTTAAATTGGGTGCTCCATTTTACTGGTGTGGATATATGAAGACAAACCTCTGCACAGACATCACTAACATTGTGAGCAGTGAATGCTGAAGGCTGGATGTAAAAAAAATGTTGGCAGTTACCAAATTGCGAAGAAGCTGAATTAACGGTAGCTTTGACCACTTTAATAGCATTTTTCAATCAAAATAATATTACTGTGATCGGTTTTGATCGCTGCACTGCTAGATGAAGACCCAGCTCCAAGTGGTCACCATTCCTTGTGGTTTCATGATTAAATTATCCATCTTGCTCTTGGACACGAGATCCATCTTTGATGGTGCGTGCATCTTCTTTGTCTTCCCTTGTTTGGCTGCCACTTTTATTTAGTCGACCACCCATTTCATAATTGTCCTGCCCAAGCCCACTTTGAATTTGACATCTCAAATTTGTGTTCTGTCAAGCTTCTAATTTTTTTTACTTTTGGAAGGTTCAGATTTTTTTCTTTATTAGTGTCCCATGTTTCTGATCCATATGTTATAGCAGGTTGTATACACCGATTTAAAACTTTTATTATTTTGGCACATTGGTTTGTTTTAATTATAAAGTTCAGCTTTCTAGAATAACGACTTCTTCCACCTCTTGTCATTTTTAATCTCTCTTCGCCTTCAACTGCCCTAGCTCTACAGCAGCCATGGCCAATAAGTTGACCGAGATCCACAGTTCAATCACGAATTATTTTGCGTGAATTTCAGGATAAATTCGAATACTAACAAGCGTACAGCAATCATTATTGACGATGGAGAAAAAAAAATCCCCAGTTTAGATTTCATCCATTAAAAATTTGTTTCAGTAGATGGCGCTAGTACTTTATGTTTATAGTATATCAGGGTTAAATCGGGGTTTGGTAATTATAGCTTTCTCTTGGATCGCAGAGCCTGTTGAGAGCCACCAGAATAGACCACAATGCTTGGTGCATTATCCACCGTTGCTGCAAATGGCCAAGGTTCGTCCCTCCAACATATATGAAATTGTTTTAGCACAAGGTTACTCATTTTGCTGATTTATCAATAGTTGCCACTTTTATGAAGTCCTCCAGTAATTTACGACACGTGTTCTATTCGTTTTTACGACTCAACGAATCTGAGATGGAGCTACACTCAATTTTTATGAAGAAACTACACAGTATGACAAGAAGACATACTTTCACGAAAGTTATGCAGTTACAGAAGTTTTCCAATTTCTTTAGAAATGCCTAAATGTAGATATGACAGCACTTAACATCACACGAGTTGTGATTAAGGCCAATCAACCGTGCAAAATAATTAACATGTATTCCACCTAATTCCCAACATTTAATTCATTTAACTGGGTTTACCAGTTTGATTTATAGCACTAATGTGCCAACATTTGTAGCCTGCCAATTATACCAAATTAAAAACGCAAGTTTGGTCAGTCGCAAGCTTTTTTTATAACGATAGACAACACCATATTGCCCAATGCGTGTATTTTTTAACATTGGTGCAAGTCATTACAAACCCTATTGGTTAATTCAATAGATCTTTGCAAAAGACCACACAACCAGCGAATTATAGGACCCATGATACACTGATATTGTTAGCCAACTCAATGCAAATAATTTGAATACTAAAACTTGCTATGTGTTAACATACAAAAGAGTATGCAATTGTACAAGGAAAGCATGCCCATCGGCCAGTTACCAGGAAGTTTTGAGGCTGGTAACTGGCTATTGAAACTATTTAATGGCTGAATTGGTGTTTTACATATGGAATATGCCACACTATTGTAGCTGATAAGTTTTTTTTTTCATTATAAGCACTGCCAAGAATAAAATACTACTTGCGCAACTCGCCCCAGGACACAAACAATTGCATCCTTATTGTAAAAACTCGGCATTTAATAAATAGGTCTTAGTTTTATCATGTCTATTTGGCAACATTGAAATTAAACATTTAGTGTCCCACTTTATGGAATGTAGTTTAGTACCTGATTTTATGGGTTTAAGAACATAAACCATGTAGTTGACCAAATGCCCCATACTCCAAACTTAGGGACCAAAACATTACGCTGTGCCTTTGAAAACCACTGGGCCCAACATGGATGGGTCCCTGCCCTCTCAAGCTTAAAAATAATTCCACCAATATCACTACCAGCGCCTTCACAATCATTGCCACGCATCTTTACAACAACCAAGAGACCAAAGATCATCCCCTCGCCATACTGACTGGCAAGGCCTGTCGGTGAGCACCTATTGAGGCAAGCACGCCACGCGGGTGAGTGTCGTCCACGCCACAGCCAGCCACCTTTGTCTCTTCATTGGCAAAGTTTTCACACGTGGCACCAGACACTCGTTTAAGGTGGCGTTAAGTTCGAGGAGGCCCAGCATTGTTTTTGATATCGCTCTCCACTCGTGTTACCTGTGACCAGAGAGTCAAACTGGAGTCGCTGGATTCGTAGCGCAGTGCGCTATCCACGGAACAACCCTTCCCGCAACAACCGCTGTAATCAAATGCACCATCAACACCAATGCCGTGAGGTGTTATCCCTCATGGGCCTCCTTGGTTGCTTCACATGGGCCCAGAGCGACTTGTCACCACCCTGTCTCAACAATTGTTCCCTCACCCCTGTATGATTTGGGTCATACCGTGTAGGTAGCTGGAATACTTCGAGCAAGGGTGATAGCGCAATGTACAAGGATATCCAATTGTTTGATCAATTTAATTCGTATGTGCATCGGACATGCAGGAAAAAATTTGACTCGGTGCATCTAGGACCCATATTTAAGGAACATACTGTACATTATTACACTTCTGCAGTGTAATAGTGGTACCCTGATTTAAAAATATATATATATACATTTACACTGCCTTAAAAGGAAGGAAAGCATAATTGGTGTGTTTTGAGCAATGTCCGTTCATGGCACATGAAAGGCAATTATCCAAATTATTGCCTATCACATCCTTCAAAGGTAGTGTTATATGATTTTCGTTTTTGTTATGTGTGCTTGTGCACCACTGCCAATGCAGTATAGGTACATACTTTGTTTAATTTTGATAGACATTGATCATCTCGCATTTAGCCTTTAGTAAAGTACATATTTTATAAATGTATATAAAGATGCAGTAACCACATCGTTAATGTAGAACTAACTCCAACTGGAGGACGAGTCAAGCAAGGGGGTGCTGTCACAAAGGCTGCTCGGTATAACACTAGAATATATTTCCTGACAATTGCATCAGAAAAATAAAGATAAATGGTGAGGTTAACCATCTCAGATTTTTTGCTAATCACGGTCATAACCGATGGAAATGAACCATTGGTTAAAGTTGAGGAATTCAACAAAGGCCGCAAAGTGCCGCTGAAGATAACTGAGCAACAGGGCGTATACAGGTTGCAATGAAGAATGGAAAATAATCTGCAGGGATGCAACTAGAAAAACGGTATGCAAATGTAAGGAAGTTGAAAGGTTCATACCAAAATTATTTTCATTGATCATGAGCAAATTGCAGTGCTTTCGTAAATAATTGATAATGAAAATAAACATGTTGCTAAAGAAAAAAGTTAATTTGGCACATGACGGGCATTGGGTGCCAGAGCCCATGTTTCCAATGTAGAATGAAAACTGCAAAGGAGTAGAGAAATGCACACTGGGTTTTGCGCTGAGAAAGGAAAGCATGAATTGTAACAAACAAATCGGAGACTTCTTCACTGTTGGGGCAAGTGGGCTTGTGCAGGACACATTACTAAAAGGGATTACAGCTGATGCACAAGATTTGGAATGACCAAAGAAGGAAACCCACTCGAGCGGATGACTGCGGCGGAGACGGCTGACGAGATCGGCTTGTACGCAGGAGCCCGATGGATTGTGGCGTCCCAGGGTGACTTGAGCGATGGTGACGACGTGGGGAGGACTTCATACAGCAGTGGGTAGATATGGCCGATGGTACACAACTCAAGCTAATTTGGCACGCTTCTCTATTATCTTATGCAACATTAACAAAAACCAACTTGC